TTTTTTTTTTTCTTTCTTTCTTTTTTTCGCTAACCTTTCTATAGAAACGATAAAGCCAACGTGAACACAATCAAAGACATGTTAGCTGGTCTCACAGAATTCCAACAGGGTAGGGACGCATATACACTCCATCTTAACATGGCCCAAGAATGCATGAAACACTTTCAGGAGCACAAGCTATTGGAAGTAAGTTCGGTTGAACAGTGCCTGTCCACTGGGCTGGACGAGAACTACAAGAAGGCAAAGAACTTGGCTTCACAGCTTGTTCAGCTACTTGATGATGATGCCGTGGACCATCAGGATAGACTCCGGCTTCTACTCCTCTACATCATGTACAGAGGAGGAATTCTTAGTGGAGATATCAGGAAGCTTATGGCGCACGCTCAGCTCCCACCGCAGGACGGAAACGTTATTTCCAACCTTGATTTACTTGGTTCTAGAGTAGAGAAACAGCTGAAGGACGAGAAACCACCTGTCCAGCCACTGTTCCAGAGAAAACCTCCATCTCCCGCAGAATCCGACGAAACTAGTTTGTCGAGATACGAATTGAACTTGAAGTTGATGCTCGAGGAGTTGGTTCGAGGAACGTTGGACCCGACGGTTTTCCCTCCCACTCGGCCAAACACCGAGATAGAGGGCATGGGAGGGCCTCAGGACACCCTCTCGCAAGCCTCCCTGCGAAGCGCCAAACCGACTTGGGCTCGGACCCGTTCAGCCACAGAGCAGCCCCGACAACGCATCATCGTCTTCATGGCTGGCGGCGCAACGTATGGCGAAGCTCGTTCTTGCTACGAAGTCTCCCAAGCCTTTAACAAGGATGTTTTCCTTGCGACGTCGCATATGCTGAGTCCTGGTTTGTTCTTGAAACAGCTAGGGGACCTCAGTGCCGACAGAAGGCGCCTAGACATCCCAGCTGAACGGCCAAAGCCAACGGCACCAGCCCATTTGTTTGAAAAAGATCCTCCACCGCAGCCTCAGCCAGTGCCCAAGAAGGCTCCAGCTCCGAAACTCAACCCTCCGGCGCCTCCTTCGGCGGCTATGGGCGCCATGTCCCTAGGATCCAATTCTCAGAATGGTGCAGCACCTGCACCAAGCAACGCCAAGCCACATAAGGAGAAGAAGGAAAAGAAGCACCATCACTTCTTTAGGCGGTCATAATGCCTTCACCTTCTCTCAGAATTACTTCAAGGATAATAAAACTCTCCTTGACTACCGGCGGCTATAGCCGTTTGAAGTCTATACCAATGTCTTTCTACTACAGCGTCTGTGATACCAAACTATCTGGTTTTATTTTGAGCACCGAAGGCGCCACGGCGCGAAATGGATATGTTCTTGTATCCTGTTCTATCTTCTCTTTGATATAACCTTCTGTCCATGTATGTAGTTAATGCATGTATCATTTGAAACATACTATCCAGTGCCGAAAATCCAGCGCACCCAAATAAAGGAAAAGAGATAAATATAGAAGGGGTATCTTGCAATCACGCCAAACTCCAAACCCATCCTAACCGCTACTGCTCCAGATACTTTAAAACGTCATCACTTTGAAAAAACTGTTCTCGCAACTTCTCCCCCCTCTTCCTAGCATTCAAGTATCCCTTCCTTACCTCCTTCGCATTTAACTTCTGCACCTTAGCTGGCCTCTCAACCACCCGGCTCTTACCCTTACCACTCTCCTTCGCCTCATCGTCACCCTCAGCCCCCAAACCAACGGTATCAACCTTCAACCGCCCCTTTAACGGCTCCCGGATCCCCTCTCGCCCAGAAACTCCCAATCCCAACCGACTATCCGGATCCCACCCATAAGCAGCCAAATACCTCAGTCCATGCCTCGTCCGATCCAAATGCGATGGCGGATGTGAATGCGACAAACACACCTGGTGTGCCAGCGACGCCTCATGCGGCCGGTCACCGGCCATCACAGCCCCATGTCCCGAATCATCCCCATCAATCGGAAGGCTACACACATCGCAGCGAGGAATGGCAGAAGGCGAAGCCGGAGCCGACTGCACCTCCGCATCACGATTTGCAACATCCCTAGACACACGCATAAGGGGCGTGCCAGGCTCTGAAACCTGCTTCTCCTTCGGCATAACAATTGAAAGATATTTGTTCGCTATACTGGTCCCCGAGGAGGCAGGTTGCGCCGCCGGCGCAGAGGTAGTACTCAGCTCATGTTCCGAGGACCGCACGAACTGGACTTTCTTGCGACGGATTCCGGCGCCGAAGGGCCGTTGGCTTTCTACCGGGAGGAAGTAATCTTCGTCAGTGGCTTCGTTGGAGGTCATGTCTTGTGTAATGGGAGGTTAATGTGTTTAATTTCAATGACTTAATGGTTGGCGGGCGTTATTCTATTTTATCGACGCGCTAACTAAGTGGGTCCATACCGCTGACGAAGCAGAGGGCGGTAGATTGGGCGGTGAGCTTGTTTGTGGTCTGGGCCCTGCATTTGATCCTATCTTTAGTAGCAGCTTTCTGTCCATAATTGGGCTGTCCTTTTTACTTGTTGGTACCTGCCCCTGTTTGTTTGGAAGCGGATTTAACCATCACACAATGCCGATTCCCTTGATTGCTCAGGGGTTCCAAGAGGGTATCTCCTCTATTCCCTATGCGTGGACCGTTTTAAAGATCGTGCCATGGGTGCTGTTGGTTGCTGCTTTGAAGTACTATTTTGGGGGTGCTCGAAATGGATCGGAGCGGTTGATGCATTCTAAGGTTGTGATGGTTACGGTATGTTCTACCTGTTTTGCTGGCTTCTGTGGAAACAGGATTGAAACTTCTAATACGGGTTTCCATAGGGTGGAACATCAGGAATAGGAGCCAGCGTCGTCCACGAACTTGCCTCTCGCGGTGCCCAGATCATCCTCCTCACACAACATGCTCCCTCAGACATCTTCCTAGTTGATTACATTGAGGATCTCCGAAAGTCAACGAAGAATCAACTCATCTACGCCGAGCAGGTGGATCTGTCCTCACTACACTCGATTCGCACATTCGCGACAAAATGGATCGATAACGTTCCCCCGCGCCGACTGGACATGATCATCCTGTGCGGAAACACGGCCGCACCTTCATCCGCCAGCCGAAAGCTGACCGTAGATGGACTCGACGAAGAATGGCAGGTGAATTACCTCGCCAATTTCCACTTGTTGAGCATCCTCAGTCCGGCGTTGAGGGCCCAGCCACCTCATCGTGACGTGCGGGTCATTTTCACAACATGTTCGAGTTACATTGGAGCCAAAATCGACCCTAAGCAGATAGAGGCAGCTTGTACGCCCGATGCTTCAGCGCCACGGGGAACGAAAAACGGCAAGAGTGTGAAGAAAGCAGGGGCTGGGTCGAAGAAATCCAAAGCCAGCCTGTTCGGAGCGAGCAAGCTTGCATTGATGTCTTTCGCCCAGTCCTTCCAGAAACACTTGAATGCTTATGAACGTCCCGATAAGATGCCTCCGTGTACACGTGTGATCGTTGTTGACCCCGGCTTTAGCCGCACTCCGGGTACCCGTCGCTGGTTGACGGGTGGGTCGCTTTGGGGGCTTCTTCTCTATCTCATCACCTGGCCTTTGTGGTGGTTGGTCCTGAAGTCGCCGCAACAGGGCGCTCAGAGTATCCTGTATGCTGCCATGGAGGCTAGATACGGCCGTGGCACCGGTGGATGGATGATCAAGGAGTGTCAGGAGGTGGATTTTGCTCGCAAAGATGTTAGGGATGAAGAGGCAGGGAAACTGCTGTGGCAATTCAGCGAAGCGCAAATTGAACTCAAGGAGAAGGAAAGTGCTGTGAAAAGGGCACTGGCCAACAAGGAGCAGCAGGAGAAGGAAAGCCAGAAGAACAATGGCTCTTCCAGCTCTAAACCTGCAGCGAAAGAGCAGACTCCAGGATCGCGAAGGAGCCGGAAAGCTAACAAATAAACTGTACACTAAAATCTGTTGAAATAAAGGAATTCATAGAGCTTCAAAAAGCAATTGGTAATTTTTCATGGCTTCTATATCTATGAGTGTACTTGTGCTATATTTTTGAAATCATGAAGGAGCACATATAGCAAATTATTCAGTTAAGCAGAGATATGTGGCTCAACAAAAGAAACAAGAAAAGAAATTCGTCTCATCCAATCTACAGGGCTTTTGTCTATCGAGGGGCGATTTCGATGATCCATCCACCTTCGCATCATAGATCCAAGCATACGCCGGTAGATCATTTCCTTAGATTATAGTAATTTATTTCTTCAGCTGTTCCAGCAGCTCAGCAGGGGGCTCCTGCCGGTAGCCCTGAGGGTTGTTCTTGGTCCAGCGCCAGAGGTCGTCGCAAGCCTGCTCGAGAGTGCGCTCAGCCTTCCAGCCAAGCTCGGTGTTGGCACGGGTGGGGTTAGCGGTGAGGTTAAGGACGTCACCAGCACGGCGGGGAGCGACCTCGTAGGGGAGGTCGCGGCCAACAGAGGCGGAGAAGGCACGGATCATCTCGTAGACAGTGCTGCCCCTGCCAGTACCCAAGTTCCAGGCACGGACACCGGGGTTGTTCGCGCGCAGGTAGTTGAGAGCCTTCAGGTGACCATCGGCAAGGTCAAGGATGTGAATGTAGTCACGGATGGCAGTGCCGTCGTGGGACTTGTAGTCTAGCACCGGACAAGTGAGTCATGATGGTTTTCTTCTGGATACGAAGGGAAATAAAGAGACATACCGTCACCGAACACAAGGAGCTTCTCACGCTTGCCAGTAGCGACCTGGGCAAGAAGGGGAAGCAAGTTGTAAGGAACACCCTGAGGATCTTCACCCATGATGCCACTGGGGTGAGCACCAGCGGGGTTGAAGTAGCGCAGCAAAGCACCGTTCCACTTCTGGCTCTCTTCCTGGTTTCCGGCCTTAGCAGCGTTGTTACGCTGGGCGTTGATGACATCGGTGATGGCGGTCTCGACGGCGAACTTGGTGTTACCGTAGGGGTTGGTAGGGCCCAGAGGGCACTCCTCAGGGATGGGGATCATGTTGGGGAAGCGGGTAGCATCTCCATAGACAGTGGCCGAGCTAGAGAAGACAATGTTGTAGACATTGTGGCGGACCATAGAACGCAAAAGGTTGAGAGTTCCGTAAACGTTGACATGGTAGTAGTCTAGAGGCTTCTCACCAGACTCGCCGACGGCCTAAGTACCAAAGCGCAGGTGTAAGTAAGTGGGATATATCCGTGGAATCGGGCATGCACACCTTCAGGGCAGCGAAGTGAATGACGCTGTCAATGTCGGGGTGAGCCTCGAAAACCTTGTCAAAAGCCGTCTCATCGGTGACATCGACCTGAGCGAACTCAGCCTTCTTGCCGGAGATCAACTCAATGCGACGAAGAGCCTCGGCGGAGGAGTTGTAGAGGTTATCGGCGACGACGACCTTGTAGCCAGCCTCAAGGAGAGCAAGGGCGGTGAAAGAGCCAATGTAGCCCGTTCCACTGTATAGTTGCGCTGTCAGTCCATTGAACCTATGGTGGGGTATACTATCCCGATCAGGGAGTGATATCTTACCCAGTGACAAGAACCGAACCGGAAGGCATGATGACAGATGCGATTGAATTGATGACAAGAGTTGAAGGGAAGTAGACAGAGTGATTAGAGAGGAAGGGTTGTCTGGAGAGGAAAAGAAGAAAAAGAAAGAAACACAAACACGACGAGCGCTGGCAGCCACGGGATATTTAAGGGGCACCGCAATCGGGATTGGTGGGGGAGGAGGACAATTGCGGAGGGGCATGCGTTCGGGTGGATTTCATTTTCATACAACAGTACACCACCTCCCTCCGTAAGGTACATACCGCAACATGTAATTTTGGTCTGCCACACAGTCTCTCTCTGTCTCTCACCTATTTTTGTATGTAACCTGCACCTCTATAGACAGTATCAGATGTGTTCTAGGGAGTGTTCAATTGATGATTTTTTCTCTTCACTTGAATTGTTTCATCTAATGAAAACCCCTATTGATCATCTTTAATTTGCCTTCCTGAACGATCTGCGGTCCAGTCCCAGGCACCACGTAATTCATCTTCAAGCTCTAACAACCTTCTTAGGTGACGATCGACCCTTCAATTTTACAGGCGGTATGGCTTGCGTACCGTTTATTTTCCACACGTGCATGCAGCCTATCTATCCGTCCCATTCATCCCACCATCCACTGACTGGGAGGCCCCATGTCCTTAATCCATACTTGCGTATACGCAAACTAGGTTTAGTCGCAGAGTCTATACTTTGAACGAACTCCGGTAAGCCGCGAGACCGTCCATATGTCAATCGAACCTTGTGGGAAAGCTGAGAGTCATCCCATATCACCTCATGTGTTCTCTCGGCATCATTCGATCGGGCACGGCAACACAGACTAGGGGCCTTCCCCGGTTAAGAACGGGCCATTCGGCAAGGCTATCGGTTTGCCTTGTCGGATAATATCTGGCGTCTGGACTCTGAAGTTCTTAGAAGATAGAACGAACGAATCCGAAGGAAACCCATCGGCCAGATGTCTCTCGACCTTGCCTCTCTTTTATCCAGTGGTTCTACAGCCCAGCGGGTCAAGTTCCACTTTATCGGTGGACTAAACCAGCCGCAACGAAGATGACCCAAGGGTCCAACCGGTTAATATCAGTCAATTATAAGGCATTGACATTCGAAGTTCGTGCCGAGTGTTGCCTGGTCAGTCCGTCCGGACCTTTACCTAGAAAATGTCGTCAATGTTAGATGGGTGAGACATCTAACATCCTGTCGATTCCGGTTCTGCAACTGAATGACATGAAGCTATTTATCCTTGCATTTACCAGTGCCATCGTCCTCTATATAGAGACTAGTAGTTTTATAGACACATCAGTCCAAAACACTACGTACTTAAACCGCACAGTTTTCAAAACATCATTGTTAGAACACCCACTATCCCACCTCTCATACTATGGTAGATGCTACGTATTACCCGATGTCTCCGGGCTTTCTGCTGATTGCACCGGTTCTTGGGGCTTGATTTCTAACTTTTATTCTCTTTTGTCTGCTGATTTGGACTTGAACTAAGGGGGGGAAAATGTACATTCAAAGAATAAAAACAAACATGGATATCCGGCATCGCCGCAATAGACCGTAGAGAGAACTTCATCGGAGGACATCTTGTCAGATGCCCTTTCGCTCACAATTACTAGTGTCATCAAACTGCCGTTGAGTTGATCATAATCCTTTCACATCTTTCATTTGACCAAACGGTGTCCTGGTCCATTGGTCTTCTCAGCCAAAGGGGAATTAACCTTCCTTCGCCCCGCCATTCACTCCCCCAATTTCCGGGTCCACAAGCTAAGAATGGAAAACCGGTGGTAGGAACTCACGTCTGGGGGAACAAAGTCTTACCCAGGCTGGTGCAAGCACCAGTCAATTACTTTAAATGATTTGCTTTCTTTCGCATCGAGTCGTATCTCTCACGTGCCCTAGAAGTGCTAGCGCTCCACGGTTGATAGATATGCAGGGCCATGTTCCCTCTAGCCGAGAAGTTCGACGTCGAGACCAATGGCACGCATGAAGAGGTTGACGTTTCCAAGCCGTTGGCTAGCCATGTCCGCAGGAAGAGTCTTGCTATATGCCACCGTTTCCATGACACGATCCCTGTAGAACTGTTAGCACTGCTCCCTGGAAGCTTCTACACCCACAAGTAGTATTGAACTCAGAGGATAGAGGACGGCAAAAGTTGACTTACTTCACTGCGATGACCAAGCGCTGCTGTTGCTCGGGGCTAGCTCCAATACCGACTGCAGCCAAAAATTGCCACACATACATATCGTCGCCTGCATTGATAGAGCCAGGGAAGATATCTCCAAAAGTAGGTTCAAGAGTATCAAACAAGACGTTGAACTTTTCCACCCACTGTTGCCAGTCCCGTTCGGCGGCCTGGCCGGCTTCCTTCACAATCTCTGCACGGCTGAGTAGCATGGTCAAGATGCCCAGCCCAATGCGAGTCTTGGCGACCATGTGTACATGAGTTTGCGCGATGACCAGGCCCAAGAGACCAATAATGATGTTGAACGGAGCTTCATTAACATAACCTAGCAGACTGGGCATGACCGCTTGCGAGAAGAGATCGATGGCTTCTCTCACGGCTAGAGAAGGCTGCGATTCACCGGGCGCCGGCTGTCCTTGTCGAACCACGTCCAAGCTGTCCAGGTGCACAACAATCATAGTAAGGATGGTAACTCGCTGTTCCTGATCAATATGACGGAAAATGCGCGGGATGGCCTTTTTGCCTTTAGGATACGAAAGGAACGCAATGAAGGGGTGTGGAGTGTTCGTGTTGGGAACAATCGGCTCCATAACCTTGAGCGCCTGCCACAACTTCTGATTGAGTGAGCGAACCTTCTGTCGCCATTCCATGTGCTCTTGAATGGCCTCGGCATCATCTTCATTCGGTGGTGGTGGCATTGTGCGCTCCATATCCTCCAACTCCATTAACGTGCCATATACGTTCTCGATGTTGGTCAAGATAGACTTCCGGTCACTCAGACTGAGGTCGGTATGTGGCTTCTTAGCCGCCTTAGATCCGTCAGAAGTCTCAGGGCGCTTGATATTGAGCATTGGCTTTGGCGTCTTCGCATTACTGAAAGAGATCTTGCCCAAGCTTCCTTCAATAATAAGTTGTTTGTTCTTCGGTTTCGCTTTGGCGGCTTCAACTGCGCGTTGGACCTGCTGCTGCATTCTCTGCATATGGTTGTCTGCACTCTGTGCCTGCCGTCGGGATCCATGACCGCCAAGACGATTGCCCGTCTGGAGAAGGTATGTTTGCGCGAAATGACCAAGAGGCTGATGCGGGTGCTGTCTGGGTGCGCCTCGGATCTGGCTGTAGACTTGATAATAAAAGTCTTCGGCCAAAACAGCTTCTGAATCCGCGTCTGCGACATTGCCCGCAGCCGCTACTAGTTGCTGGAGCTGAATGCGTGTGATGAAGTTCTTATCTTGCGGGGTCATCAGCCCATTGCCCTTGGAGAGAAGGAAGATCTTATGGTTGCGTTTCGCGCGCTTTGCATCTTCCATCAAGTACGCTACACGTTGCTCTTCAGTCAGCTGCATCAGTTGCTGAGGGTTCGTGATCAACGGCAGAGAGCCATTCGTCCCCCTTGGACCTTGAGGTCCATTCTGGGGCATCGGTGGCGGTGGCTGTTGTTGCTGCTGCTGCTGCTGTTGCTGCTGCTGGGTCCGCTGTCCACGTGAGGGAGCTTGATGCTGAGGGTGAACCATGTGCTGAGGAGGGAGATTGGCGTTCTGCAGGAGATGCAATGGCAAGTTAGGGGGCGGATATGGCTCAGGAACCATCTGTGGGTGGTGCAACATCTGCGCAGGTGGAACACCTTTAGCAAACTGCGCCTGTAGGAATTCAGGAGGTAACTGGGGGAAGCCGTCCGGGAAACCAGGGATTTGCTGAGGTCGCTGCAGATGATGGAGTGCCTCTGCCATCGAGTGGGGAAGAGAAACGGGGGGCAAACCCGGGGCAGGCCCGGGGCCCTGGTGACGCAACTGCGCTTCCACTTCCTCCAGACTCAGCATCTTCCTGGCCTGCATCGCCGGCTGGACTACCGGCTGGACTACCGGCTGAACCGCGGGGGCGTGTGCGGGGGCGGGCTCGGGCTTCTTCTGTAGATTCCAAACGCTGGATTTTGCCTGAAGGTCAGGAATATAGTCCGGGTCTGAATACTTCTCGTATCCGGTGCGCTTCGGCTTCTGGGCCACGGTACTTGTTGCAACGGGGACCTCGGCGACAGGAGCGGCAGCAGAAGCCTGAGGCTTTTGTAGGCTGTAGCGGACTTGCTCTTCTCCAATGACATCGGCAACCTGAGCGGTCTTTCCGAAGAAGTCAAAGTCCTTACTGACAGCGCCAGTGCCCATGTCCCCGCCGAACGTGTCATCGTTGAACGCATCCTGATCGTCGTCGAGTTGATCTCCCAGACCATCATATGTATCCTCGAAATCAATTCTGCAGACCGAACAAGAAACCATCAGTAAGTAAATCATGTTTCTTGCATGGATAAACCGGTCGACTGGAGGCGACCTCAAGACGGGCAGTCTTACACATCATCATCACCATTGTCCTGGAAATGCCCAGCCAACCTGGCGCGAGCGACTTCGGCAAACGGGTCAGGAGTATCAAAAATACCCCTCTGTCCACCCCCGGGGGCTCGATCCCTCGGGAGAGTCGTATCAAAGCCGAAGAAGGACATCTTCGGCGGGATGTGGATGCACGGAGACGAGGTAACAGGGGAGCGAGATTTACCGCCGCATAAATGTGGTGCGGGATGAAGTCGACTTCCGGTCTGATATCACCCGCTTACCGACTCCAGGTTAGTGCCGGGGTGCGATTGATGCCTAAGGTATCGATCCATACCTGTTACAAAATAAATCATGGAAGCTATGTTTCGAAGAACAGCTCTCAAACTATACATTCCCTTTGCTATGGTCTTCTGGTGTCTAATGAATACAAAGACATTTGTAGCCTCAATGGATATTGCTGTCATCGTCATGGGGTTGATCTGACTGTCATTAAGCCCAGCCAGCTGCTGCCCCAAACCCCAGGCAGGAATAGATCGTCGCCTTAGAGTGGCCATGGCCCCATTCAAACACACCACACAAGGCGAACAACCGATGTACATGTATCAACTACAAAAGTAAATAGAATGAATCTCTCTTTCTATTGCCTGGCACATTGAGTGTCGTGTAATACTCTCCTCGTTAATGACCAGAATGTCTCTTCACCTGGGCAATCACACTTATTGGAACTCCTAATAGGGGAGGCAGTGTTGGCCAATGATGGTAGAGTACATTACGTTGCCATTCCACTGCCAACTAAATCATGATCTCAAACAAAAAGGTCCTACTACTTCATTCATGTAACCAATTTTACCTCGTTTCCTTGTGAAACTAACTTCTCGGCATATTGGCTCGCGACCCCGACGGTATTCCTGCAAAGGGTGGGGATCGTGCAATCTCCTCTCTAACTGGAGAATAATTTCTTCCAGAAAGGGTCTCCCCTTGTCTCATTGCTAGACTTCAGCTGTCGCCTTCGTCGTCGCTCCGGGTGCCAACCTGTAGTCAGACGACTCACTTATACAGCCCTGTTTTTAATTGACGGCACTTAATCTCTTGACCTTTTTTAAAAGCTTGCTTCCGCTCATCTGTTCTTGTCATTCGTTTGATCCTGGCACTTGCCCCCTTGCTTTCCGATCTGCCCGTTCCCGTATAGAAAGCTAGGCACCCATTTTCAAACTTCACCCAGTTGTTCGATAGTCCCGTGTCTGGCACGGTAGGGACACATTGCAATCATGTCATCGGGACCGGTGAAATACATTCGATATCTTCTCTTCGCCGCCGCGGTTAGTGGCTACTTTCCCATGCGCTTCCACACCAGTGGCTAACCTATGATTCCAATATAGGGTTTGGCAGTTTTCTTTTTCCTCTCCAGAAGCGCAATCCCAATCCCCGAAACTATCGGCTCGAAGTTGAACCCGTCCAGCTACAAAGATAACTCTGCTTCTTCACCGTCCTCTCATGACAATGCTGCTACCCCGAAGGAACATACCAATGACTCTTCGGGGAGCGTGAGCATCCCCCAGGATGGACGGGTTAATGCTACGTTTGTCACGTTGGCGCGCAATTCGGATGTTTGGGATATTGCTAAGTCGATCCGGAGTGTCGAAGATCGCTTCAATCGCAACTACCATTATGATTGGGTATTCCTAAATGACAAGGAGTTTGATGACGAATTCAAAAAGATCACCACAGCCCTGGTTTCCGGTACCACCCATTATGGCGTTATTCCAAAGGAACATTGGTCGTACCCTGAGTGGATTGATCAAGAGAAAGCGAAAAAGGTGCGTGAGGACATGGGCCAAAGGAAAATCATCTACGGTGATTCCGAGAGCTACCGACACATGTGCCGTTACGAGTCCGGGTTCTTCTTCCGGCACCCTTTGATGCTGAACTACGAGTACTATTGGCGCGTGGAGCCCAGCATTGAATTGTTCTGTGACATCAGCTTCGACCCTTTCCGATTCATGAAGGAAAACAACAAGAAGTATAGCTTCGTTCTTAGTCTATATGAATATTTTGATACTATTCCTACCCTCTGGGATAGTGTGAAGAAGTTCATGGACAATCACCCGGAACATATTGCGAAAGGAAACTCGATGGACTTCCTGAGTGACGACGGTGGAAAAACATACAACAAGTGCCATTTCGTAAGTTCCTCGCTTACTGAAACTTAAGTGAGCGTCACTAACCAGAATCTTGTGAGCAGTGGTCGAATTTCGAAATCGGACACTTAGACTGGCTCAGATCTAAGGAATATCTAGATTACTTCGAATCTCTTGACCACGATGGTGGTTTCTTCTATGAAAGATGGGGCGATGCTCCAGTGCACTCTATTGCTGCTGGTCTGCTCTTGGAAAAGGAACAGATCCACTTCTTCAATGAGATCGCCTACTACCATATCCCCTTCACCCACTGTCCGACGGGTGAGCAATTGAGACTGGATCTCAAGTGCCACTGCAACCCCAGCGACAACTTTGACTGGAAGGGTTATTCCTGTAAGTTGATCCTCACTGCTATTTGGGGGCAGTTACTAACACAGTTCTCCAACCAGGCACTTCCCGCTTCTTCCATATTAATAACATGAAAAAGCCCGCGGGCTACGAGGATGAGAGTTGACTACCCGTTCTCGCGAAAATCTTGCTCTCGATATCCATTATTGGCGGTCTTGTCCTTGCAATCAGCAACAAGGCTCGAGCGCGAGCGGCCCATGGCGGACTTTATGTGCTTGAGCGAACCGCAGCCATGCGGGAGACCTATCTTAAACGATAAGCACCATGTGCCCATTTTGTTCCAACTGTAGATGCTGGGCATTGGCCATTTCGGCCCTGTTTTTCTTCCTCTTTTCTCTTTATCTTTGTATTTCTGCGGTGTCATGTGTCTTATTATAAGGATATTTCATCATCTTCGTTGCTTGCTTTTAGGGAGTGATTGAGCATATTCATGGAGCGCTAAGGTTACAGCAGGGCAATTACCACTATGTTTTGACTTGGGGGAAAAGCGAAAAAAAACCCGTCCAATATAAAAGTTCCATCATAAATGTACATAACTATTTTATAACGATGACGATAACAGTCAGTTTGACAAAACCAAGTAGATAGTACAATACAAGCATTCGAACATCGGCTTCTCGCCCATCTGCCTAGTCAGGGTATCTCTCCAGTCTCAATCAATTAATCCCTCTTCGGCTTCTTAGTTCCATATTTCGATCTGCTGGTCAACCGATTGGCAACACCACCCTACGACGATGTCAGTACCCACATCACTCAATCTACCAAACAGCAGATAAACAAAAGGGCGACATACCAGATCCATAGCACCACGGACCAAATGATACTTCACACCAGGACAATCCTGAGCACGCCCACCACGAACAAGAACGACACTGTGCTGCTGGACATTATGGCCTACAAATCATCCAAGTCAGCATCAAACCCCTAAGCTACCACCAGAATAGGAAGACAAACCTTCACCAGGAATATAAGCCGTAACCACCTTGCCACTACTCAAACGCACTCTTGCCGTCTTCCTCTCACCGGAGTTGGGCTTCTTTGGCTTCGTGATACCCGTCTTCAAGCACACACCCTTCATCTCAGGCCTGTCCTTCAGCGCAGGGGACCGCGCACGACGAGCACGCTGAGCAACACGGCATCCGCGACGGACTTGGTTGTAGGTAGCCTGGCGGAACGGGGAGGTCGAGAACTGGCGGATAGCAAGGCTGGGAGTAGTAGCGGCTGCGACGGCCGTGGGTGTGCGGAGGACGGGCTGGAACCGGGGGATGGAGTACGAGGGCTTGGGGGTGGCGATAGCAGTGAACGCGGGACGCTGGATGATGGTCCGCAGCGTGCGGAGGGTGAGGGAGGAGACGAATGGCGGCATGGCGTGTGAGAAGCGTGGTGATGTTGTTGCCTTCCTTTTCCTCTCGGAGGTTCTGGTATAATTGATCGGGGATAATTTGCGATAGCGCTCACGTGACGGTCTTGCTTACCTTCCTGAGGATCGGAATTGCGGAGGTGGTAGTTAAGTTGTGCCGGAGGAGCTGTGGACGCGCTATCCTACCGTTGCCTTGTCAGGTCTATCGTCAGAGCTTCGGTATCTGTCTAACCTCCACTGCGCTTTCAGTTCGGCTTCCATCTTGAAACCTCCTCATCTTCCTCGACCATATACCATCGACACTGGTATCTCTCACGTATCGATAAATCAGCCCGATAATATATTAAATCTCACGCTCAAATCCACCACAATGGTATATGCTCACCCCATCCAACCACCATCCCAGAACTACATACAACACCTCATCCAAGTAAAGCAACCCAGCTAATGAAAGAAACAAGTCTCTCCGCATCGCCCCAGCCACGAACTACCGCACCCAAACAACCAACACAACCACCCGTCAAAACATCCCCATCTCCCTCCCGCACCCCTCAAAAGGTGCCCCCTCAGCCCCCGGTCTCCCCGACACTCTCCGCGACAACATCACCCTCCCCGCCTCCCGGGGTCCTCCCTCCTCTCAATCCGAAATCCCCGCCTCCGCACACCCCCTCGAAGCACGTCTGATCGCCTGGCGCCAAACGCAGGATGCAATGAAGATGGAGTCCCTGCGTCGGGCATATGGTATCGCGGAGCCCATCCGCCGTGGCATGGAACTGAAGCTCGTGCGGGATGGATCATTCCGGCCGGCCGTGCTGGGAGGTGCAAAGGCTGGCAATGTTCATGAGGATATCCTCGTGCTCGGTGGACGGGATACGGAAGTTGGGTGGGAGGATGTTTTCAAAGGTTCGTCGTCGCTCTCCTCTACCTATATTTCTCTACCCCGCAGTAGCTGGAGCTTGTGTTCGAGGATCAGATCTCCATATACTAACGCAACACAGGAGACGAGTTCAGAGAACCACCCACTTTCCACGACGAGATGGAGAAGAGGCTGCGGATGGATTTCTAAGCTACGTTTCGATTGCCGGTTCTTGGTTTCCGTTTATGCTTCGTTGGTCTCGTTTATTTAATTCATTGTATGGGTCGTTATGATTCTTTCTTCTCGATACAGGCGGGATGTGAACAAGAGGATTTGAAATGTGGCCCACTCATGATTTGATGGGCAAATACTACTAGATGCAATTAGACATACGGGTTGCATGGACCAATAGTTGGGCTACACGTATTGGTCGATGATCATAGTAGGCCATGAAACAGATTTAAGGAGGCCATTGTACTCCTTTCGTGTCGCGATGCTGTTGTTCGTACGTCTCTAGTACGCCGCCAAGTCAGGTTATACGGTTAGAAGCCAGAGGCCTTGCGCTACCTCGTTTCCTTCTAGCTATGTGGTGTGCTCATAAGGTTTCTCAAGTAGAGATGTCGGCGTGGAATTATACACCATGATAACTTCGTCACGCGGAGATGTAGCAACTACGGGAGGATCACGGGAGGGTTGGAAACCAGTCTTGTGCTTAGTGATGAACAAGAATATGAAAAAAGAATATGAAGAATCTGCTAATATGTAGACACATGCTGACGAACAACAGCTTGGCGGATCAAAGAAATAGGGTATATACGAACGGGGTGAAGGGCAAGAGCAGCGTCGAGCAACTCGAGTGGTTATGCAAACAAATGAAAACCATAGAACCAGAACACACTAAGAATACCACACAAATGCCTCAGTGCTGGAAGAGCAAATACTAATAACCGGAACGCCGTCCCTGTTTACGGTCACAAATGGCCAAGTAGATATCCCGCATCAAGGCCACAGAGCGATGGCCATGCCAAAGCGCTCACAAATGAAAGAGGGAAACCCCAAAACAAGATAGACGGATGGGGGTATGGGCATAATGAGTCCATCGCGCCCAAGAGTAAGCCAATTAGACAAGACCTCTTGCGATATTTAATAGACCACTGCAACCCCCATCATTGGTATGTGCAAATACAAGAGCCAATGAATTTATTGGATTATACAGCGACACCCCGGGCTGCGTTCACTGGCTTCACGTTCCCGCGGGTATTGTGGCTTAGAGCCTTTGGCGTCCTCCTCATCGACAAGTTCCTGGGGTTTGACTGTCATATGCACCACATTGGGGGCATCACGGCTGAATTTGGAGTCTGGAACTGAATCAGCACCTCGCCAGGTAATATTCTGTTTCGTACACATATAACATACCTGATAGAGGCGCTTTATCGTCGAGCAATTTACCAAACGAGATCAGCCGAATGTAACTCGGGGATGATGGTTGCGGTTCCCAATCTAAATAGATGCGCACATTAGTTTTAAGCCGATCTCACCCGGCCCGGTCCTTGATAGCTGTCTGCGCCAATACATACCTTGTCGCCATTCCCTCCAGATCAACTCCTTGAGCGTGTATACGCTCATAGCAAAAGGATCGTTGTTTTCCACATTCACTGACCGCTTCTGGAGATACTTTCCATCGATCTTGAACGGATGCCGCGAACCTGATGTCAAAAGCAATGTAATCATCAGCGACGGGCCCTGGTCTTCCTCCTTCGCGTCAGAATCCTGCGATGGCTGCTCCACCGAAGGCGCCTCAGGGGCCGAGGCCCCGGACTCAGCGGCGGATGCATTGAGAGTCGGAGGAGTATTCGCATCACTTGGTGGTTGGGGTGGAGGAGCGCTTTCGCCACCGACGAGAGGCTGTGCGTCGGACGTCTCGGTCACTATATGTTGGTTGGGGGTACTTTCGTCATGGCCAGGAGTAAGCGGGTTCGCTGCCGATTCTGGGGCTGAAGCAGGAGTGGAGGCTGATTGCACATTGGATTCTTGGGAGTGCACAGCGGTGGTAGGGACTGAATGCTCGTTGTTATCTCCAAGTCGCAGACTGTCCGTCTTTACATTGTCATCGTTGGAGGCCATGTTTGAACTAGACAACCTCCGATGGCCGCTCACACTAGGAAGAGGAAACAATGATGGAATGTGACAGCTTGATGGGGGTGAGTGAGGACGGTCGGGGTGTTAAACGAGGGAAAGGGTGATTAATTGATTATTCTACCCCTATAGGGACAAGGATGGCGGAACAGTTGTTTGCCAAGTGGGGGATGGAGATGAAGGAACGATAAACGAGAGGATAGAAGGAGGATGAGCCAGCGATCCGCGGCTAAAAGAAAGGAGACGGGAGTGGGTTTGACTTGAAGGGTAAAAACGAGGTACAGGCCAAACGGAGGAACCAAACGGAGTGGTTCTATTTCGGGAGAAGGATGAAGGGGGCCATGCGACCGACGAAACACAGGCGATAAAGGAGAGGAGTAGGGAGTGAGCGAGGTGTTGTGCCTTGTGTACTTTGTACCCGGTACTACACAGACGGTAGGTAACTATGGGAGGGGCGAGGGGAATTCTTGGAAGAAGGCGAGACAGTTAGTCGGAGAGAGAGGAGACGCTTTGCTAACGGGCAAGATGTCTTGAGCCCCGGCAAGCTGCCAGTAAGAGTCTAAGGGAAGAGGAAGTTTGGTACTGGGGGCGGAGAAAGAAGGGGAGAAAAAGGGAAAGAAAGGCGGTGATCTGGTTGGTTTGCTAGTCTTGCCGTATGGAGTCGTTTACTGGTCCTTCCTAGTAGTAAGTTTGTCCTTTAGTACCTTGGTAGCTTTGGTCTATAACCTCTTTGAATGACAGTTTCCACTCAATCTAGATTAACGGTGGATATTCTTCCTTGAATGTTTTCGCTCTTCTCTTCATTCCACTTGAGAGGATGGCACATAGGGCAATGTGGGCGTGATGGTTGATTGCCGATCGGCTCGGCGCGTGCGGAGATCCTGCAGCATGAAATTGTACGGACATATGTATGACGTGGTTTTGTCTAAACCCTTTCCTCGGGTTGAAATAAGCTATTCTCAACTTACATATCTTGCTTATCTGCGCACATCAGACCAGGAAAACATCGTTCAGTAACGATGGGTTACCTGTGTTGAGTGGAAACAGCTCCAGGGACATATAGAAGGTTTAGTTAGGGTTATATCACTCGACTAAATAACACTCCTTATCAACTAACCTGGTTGACGTTTGCCAACCGTATCCGTGATAGATTGACCAAAGCTCAGAAAAAGCAAATTAAAGCTTTTCCTTGTCCGTTAGAAATACTAGTTCGACCTAGGGAACTCCTGATTTAGATGCTTTGGCTTTTATTGTCTTACGAGTATCTTGCCAAATCAAAAAAGCTAGGATACCACAGCACATGCACATGAAAGGTGCACCCCAAACAAGTTCCTAAATTAGAATTCATTCAATCCTTGAGCCGGCTAAATCTTCTATTTCCACTTTTGTAAGTAGATTGGAGTATTCCTTGGGAAATTATGCCCATACACCCTTTTCCAAAATCAGTGTGGTGCTTGAAACAAGCGTAATTTAAGATTAGATTCTGCAGAGCGTCCCCAATTTAGGTTGGTAGATCTACCCTTCATTCATGCATTTGTAAGTAGCACTTCGGGATCAGAGGCTTCTATTGCCGAGCGTGTTACCCTAAACACTGTACTACGGAGGACAGTATGAGCTCTAGAGAAGGTCTCACAGATGATGTCACGGCCAGTTCAATTAGAGGCTTCCATTATATGCGCTTTGAAATGTTTATGTTTCTTTTTCATGGGCTATCCACCACTGCTGCTACGTCATAGGGCAGTGGAGATTTGTAGCTCTGATCCCGCGAGAGGCAAATGACTCCTGGCTCGTTTCAATTAGATTCTTCTACTTAATTCAGTGCTTCATGGCCTATGACAGTATCAGCCATTTCAAGTCTCTCATTTTTGAGCCCTTTTGCAGGGTTCTTCTTAAGTACCATGCGGCTTCAAGAAAGAGTTTAGACTGTAAGAGCAGGGAGGATTCCTTAAGCTTTTCACACCACAATACACAATCCGACGTGCCTCAACGATAGCTGCTGATATTCTGTAGTAAGTAACTCACAGTTCGATCTGTTTATTCACCTGAATGGCTATCTACCCTAGGAAACCGCTTTGAAATATATAATGTGTCCGTGTTAAGGATGGCCTTTCAGACAGATCGCAGAGAAGATGAAAGGCTTAATAATGGTCTAGAGGCTGTCTCTCCCGTGGTTCTGTAATCTCATACTGAGGATGCTCCTACAGTCAATGAGCTCTTCTTTTTTGTAATTGGGTGTAAGCACCTAAGTATCAGAATCACGCCTCCCTTTCATGGTCTCAGAATTCATAAGCATAGAAGGATGCAGGCAGCCAAACAGATATGAAGATCTCTTGTTGGCCAAAGAGTCAGTGTTTGTTATTCTAAGTGGAGATCAAGTAAGGAGGATTGGAATGCTACCTACCCCGTACCTAGTTCAGGACCCATTGACCAATGTACATTCTTCCCCCACACACACTGAAGCTAATGTGGTTGTTCGTATCATTATGACTCAACAAAGTGCTGATCGCCAACAATAAACTCTTCTTAGTCGGGAAGAGCCTGGAGAAATTATTGACTGCGGCTGGAAGTGCCTAGAGGCCTCGCTGACCGCTGTTATATATCTGGACTCCAGAGTCATGGCTTCGTAGGTTTAGCATGCCCCTTCCTCAACCGTTCATATGTAGCTTAGTCTTTTTGTTCTGTCTATTTCCTGATTAAGATAAATCCTATTTAGTGATTGGTTTCATATTAATCTGTCATGGTGGCTCTTCGTTTGTTAAAGACCCCTTGCTCTGTTCAAGATACTGGAATACTTTGATTACTCTTTGCCGGGCAATTGATAAAATCCGGATCTAAGGTTTCTGACAGCGCACATTGATGTAGGAACCGTTTTCATAACGATTCTTGTACTTGCATTTGCATACGGTAAAGGATGTTCATGCTTGACTTGAACTCTAAACCCCAGAAAATATACCTACGGGATTGACACCTGAAAGCCTGCGAATCCCTTAACAGGGTGAGTTGATCTGGCGAACTACCCTCACCGATTCAAAGAAGGCATACTTAGATGAAGTAAGGGAAAGCAGCTCACAATGTCAGGTGATGTTTTGATCAACGCCTTATATACTCAAATCGAAATAAGCAACCGATAAGTGGGTCTTGAGCCGTAAGAGTGGTATGTAAGTTGTTTGATTGATAATAAATCCCCGTCCGAAAAGAAGAGAATGCGCTTCTCGGAAATTTAGGGGTCTGTATGATTCTATATCTACCTAGAAGAGTGAGGCATTTTGATGCCGCGATACCCTAATAAGATCTCGTGACAAATTACAATGATTTTGCGATCTTCTAGATCACTGGAAGATAAAATTTTTTCTTCCGATATTCCACTAAATTCTCTATTTATAGGTTGATAAGAACCGGGTAAAGCGGCTATCTTAATGGCGCAAGAAATTGCCGAAAATCCTGATCTTCTAGTGTACTGTATATGTCGCCTCATCAGTCATACAATTGAATAATTTTTTAGTGAGTAGGGCCAAGCTAGACTGTCTCCACTTAGTGTCGCGAAATTTTTCAATACTGTGCCTCCCTGATCTACAAGGCACCCATACTGAATATGCACAACGAAAGTATAATATTAATCCTCCACTATAAAGAAAGAAAAAGGGGAATATTAACCAATTATAGAACCCAAGGGATTCATTCTTCATATGCTTTCATGCTTCGTAGTGGCCATATACATTGATGTCACTGCCGTGTAATTCAGAACAACATTCAGGGCCTAAATCCTAGACGGGAGATAGTAGTATGCCAATCCTATGACAGGGATGCTCTCACGCCACTCAACCGCTCTAGCAATCAACGTCTTACAACAATGGGCTTTTTCTTTTTCTGCCAGGTCACCTGCCAGGCAAATCTTCTGCTCTCACCTGACTAAAGCTCGAACATGTTCATAGAGGATGAGCAAAGGTCGAACGGGGTCCAGATAAGAGTCGGTGGGTCCCTTGCCTTCTGGAATGTCTGAACTGTAGAGCATTTCAGTACTTCCTTACCTTAGCTCTATCATCGCCTGATCGCCACAACAGGATTCCTGCGGTCTAATAACTGGAAAGTCACATTGCACACCCCTGACTATCGTGACATCACTCCCAACTGAGGGACGCGGTGACAATAGCAAAGTAGACAGTTCGTCCCAATGAATTGGACACAGAAAATAAATAAGGTATCGAATCATCCGATCGCAATGAAGGGTCATTTGCCTGTCATACCTTGGGTCGAAATAGATGTGCCCGTTTGAGATCCCTCGGCCGTGGTACCCGGGCCGACTAAACGTCTAGTTGAAGTCAAGTGGGCCTTCCCAGATGCTAACATGTAATTCTTGGTTTTCTGATATGCAGAGTCTCCGCGGCAGATATCTTTTGATGCAATCCAAAGTCTGGACTGGGTCTAGATTTGGTCAGGTCATATGCCCAAGCCCCCAACAGCATTGAGCATTGTTTTTTAAGCTGCAAGCTGTACTATCACTCCGACCACTATTTACAGACGATGTCTTCCTAAGTAATTTGGTTTTCGCTGATTCAAGCATTCTCATCTCATCCATTTCTTGATGATGCTACAGTCATCGCTACACACCTCCGACTATATGGCCCGGATTAAGTCCAGTGAGCCTGAGCTCACTATCAGTTTCACCGAGCCTGCGGTGTTCATACCTACATACACACATAAACCCGCTGTCCTGAGGGGTTCTTGTGAGCTGAAGGTGAAGGAGACATTAATGGTGAAGAGATTAACAGTCAATTTTCACGGGGTTTCTCATGTACACTGGCCACATGGTAAGAAAACCCAAGATGCAGTTGAAGGAACCGCTCTACGACAAAGACGCCAGAGAATAGTCTAACAGAACGTAGGTCTTCACGATTCGAAGACCATCACAGATCGTACCCTGACGGTGTTCGGTCCGGATATCTCAGGGACCGGATCCCAACACCACGCCGATCAGGAAAATCTAGGAATGTTGGAAACGGGTAGTACGGAATGCAATACATCGCGCCAAAAATGCGGATTGTGGGGCACCATCACCAACAAGTTATGTTCGAGATGCAAAAGTACCGCCGCGCCAGATTATCAGCTATTGTCTCCGGGTACCTATACATATAATTTCGAAATGATACTGCCCCCTCAGTTGCCGGAATCTGTTAATGTACGACGAAGCCATGTTCGATACAATGTCCGAGCATGTCTAGAATTCCCAGGCCATTTCAGGCATAACATCGTCCAGAACATGCCGATCGCTGCTATCCACTGTCCGGCAGAGGATTTCGTGGAGGATGCAGAGCCGGTTTACATTGCTCGGGCCTGGAAGCGTTTGCTTCGATGCGACATCCTCATGTCAAGAAGAGGCGCTCCTCTCTGTCATATATTACCTGTGAGCGTGTCTTTTGCCGAGTTGGCTAATTCGAGGTTCCATGGGTTGCAAATCTATATTTCAGAGAACGTTCAGTTCCTCCGAAAAGATGGTCTGGTTTCCTGCCTAGGGCCTTTCAAGAGGAGACTCTTATATGAAGCGGCCGAAGATTTTGTACCCACTTTGCCGCCCTATAGGTTTGGTGAAGATGATGACCACCTTTCAGAAAAGAGCAGCTTTGGTGTACAAGAGAGTGTGGTGCTTTCGGAGTGCGAGGACAAACCCGCGACGTCCGAGGGCATGACGCTGAATATCGACTTGACATTACCCACTTGCCAGGACCATTCTGAAGATAACTGGATGCACTTTAGCACTGAGTATAAGAGCGCAAGAGTGTACCATTGGCTTGATGTAAGTCCATCAGTGATTTAGTGCGAGAAAAACTTGTAGTAATGACGCATCCAGTTTGTGTTTTCCATGTCTAAACATGGCGCACCGCCGGTCGTGCAGAAGATCGCCAGGGTTCCACTGTCGCTGCGATCCTGTTATGCACAACACGCCAACGCGTCCCTGCCAGCTTACTCACAAACATGTGAAATAAAGCCGTTTAACACAGCTCCCGCCGAGGGATCTTTTGACCAAGAATCTTTTGATCAGGACCAGCACTGGTGGTCGGCGGACGACCACAGATATTCTGTTTCTTGACGGGTTCGGGTTCCCGAAGACTGACATTTAATAAATAAGCTTTCACTTGGCTTCCATTGCGACCAATGATAGTGACTAGTTCGGGTTTGAAAAACTTGACGTCGACAAGTACTCATGCAACCCGACATTTGGACGACGAGCCAAAAATTTTTCACGCATGTTGTCTCCATCGGTGGGGACGACTCGTGACTGTGGTGGAATTAAAGTGTTCTGTGAACGGGTATTACATCATTGCCATCCCACCGCGATGGTTAGCAGGTCCACTCCTACCTTTGATTCTACTCTCTATGGTGCTTCCAAGTGGCCCTTCATGACTTCCTCCAGTCAAAGAAATCTGCCATGATGTCAAGGGCAATACTCCCCATGGTCTCCATCAATGTGGAGGTGGAAAGCATTCTCCCCATAGGGTCTTCCTCCCCCATTGGGGTATGTGACGCCACAGGTTACCGCACACAGTATCTCTGTCGACGATTGTCGACTTGGAGCCGTCCCTGTTTAAAATCTGTCTGATCCTATCGTCCTGTACATAAGTTTTCTTTCTCGGTCCAACCTCTTCCTAATATTATACCAATTTAATTACTGCTCTACCCCAGATATTGTGCATTGTGCTTCAGCGTAGTATAGGATTCTCATCATGGCGCCTCCCACCTATGCGGGGATGTCAGGGCGGAAACTGTCACTGACAGTCTCTACCATTGCAACAATGGGGTTTTTGCTTTTCGGATATGATCGTGAGTCTCTACATCTTGCATACATTTAGGGGAAGTTACGCTGACCATGGCTGTAGAGGGTGTGATGTCGGGCATCATCTCAGACCCGGCCTTTAATGACATGTTCACGGCAACCAAGGACGACAATACAATGCAGGCTACCGTAACTGCAGTCTATGAAGTCGGTAAGTCGCAATGCGGCCCTAGCAGTGCTCCCTTTCGATCGAGTAAGCTGATCATCCAATGTAGGTTGTCTCTTCGGTGCGATCATCGCTTTGCTATTTGGTGATCGGACGGGTCGACGGTGGATGGTTATCGCCGGTGCCACTATTATGATTGTCGGTGTCGTTATTCAGGTGTCTGCCATGCCAGGCTCGCTTCCCCTTCTTCAATTTATCTTCGGTCGAGTTATTACTGGCATTGGGAATGGAATGAACACTTCAACAATTCCCACATACCAAGCCGAATGCTCCAAGACTAGCAATCGAGGACTTCTTATTTGCATCGAAGGTGGTATTATCGCCATAGGTACGGCTATTGCATACTGGATTGACTATGGTGCACATTACGGACCACAAGACCTGGTATGGAGATTTCCGATCGCGTTCCAGGTCTTCTTCGGTATCATTATCATTGTCGGCATGCTTTACCTGCCCGAGTCACCTCGCTATCTCATCGCCCACGACAAAGTCGCCGAAGGCGAGCGGGTCCTCGCCGCGCTAGCTGGCACAGAGATTGAGGATCGTCACACTCAAACGGAAAAGAATCTGATTCTTGATTCCGTCCGAGCGTAAGTCTTCCTCTTCCATGATATGTACTTGACCTTTGAAGCTTACCGTGAGACAGTTCGGGTGCCACGAAAGCCAAGTTCAGCGATCTACTTACTGGTGGACCATCTCAGCATCTGCGCCGCATGCTCGTGGGTTCGTCGTCGCAGATGTTCCAGCAGATTTCCGGTTGCAACGCTGTCATCTATTACCTCCCAGTTTTGCTTGAGCAATCTATTGGCCAATCTCACAATTTTGCGCTCTTGATCGGCGGTATCAACATGATCTGCTACGCTATCTTTGCAACGTTCTCATGGTTCTTCATCGAAAAGATTGGTCGCCGTAAATTGTTCCTGGGAGGCAGCTACGGGCAGTGCGCAGCAATGATTATTGTATTCGCCTGTCTTATTCCTGGCGATAAAGAAAGTGCAAAGGGTGCCGTCTTCGGCTTCTTCCTCTATATGTGCTTCTTTGGAGCCACTTGGCTGCCCTTGCCATGGCTCTATCCTGCTGAACTCTCTCCCATCAAGACCAGGGCCAAAGCCAACGCCATCTCCACCTGCAATAACTGGCTGTTCAACTTCACCGTGGTTATGATCACCCCTGTCATGGTGGAACATATCGGCTGGGGCACATACTTGTTCTTCGCTGCATGGAACGCGGTCTTCATTCCAATCATCTGGTTTTTCTATCCAGAAACTGCAGGTCGTAGTCTGGAAGAAATCGACCTGATCTTTGCCAAGGGATACGTGGAGAAGATGAGCTATGTGCGTGCTGCGAAAGAACTTCCCAAGCTCTCCGACGATGAAATCGAGGCCAAGGCAGCCGAGTACGGTATCCTCAACAACAACGAGAAAGTCGAGGAACGAATCGCCGAACATGCCCCCCAGGACTCTCAGGAATACTCGTCCTACCTGCCGAGTCAGCTATAAGGGATTACCCGGTGTTGAAACTCATCAACTCACTGTTCTATACTGAATAGAACCTCAAAACTAGAAAAGAAACATATATTGCGAAGGCGTTTTGGACTGCCTATACTTGCTTTTACCGGATACCCATGATATCAGGGGATGTTTTCATGCGATGGATATGTTGCATGGCTGTACATATGTACATTTGAATAATTATATCGTTTATGTTTATAGCTACGATGACATTTATGTCGCTTACGGGCCCAATGAATTGAACTGTTGTTATGATTAAACAAGACATCTCTAGCTTTGGCAGCCATACATCACCTATTCTAAACCAAGGCAGAACGATAACAATAAAAAGCAACAAAGATATGTGCTAAGACTGAAGACGTAACCTAAATCCCTCCCCTCCTTCGCAAACCCGCCCCCCCCCCCCCCCTCCCCCCCTCGGGGGGAAGAACCAGACCCTAATTCCCCTCCAAACCAGATTCCCCTTGAGACATACTCCTAGTACCACCAGAACCAGAACCAGAACTAAACTCCCATAATCAGCACATTCCAAATAGAAGCCACACAAGCAACACTCAAATCCCTTACCTCATAGCTACCTTCTTCGAAACAGCCCAAATACAAGTCCCCAGAAGAGCAACCTTGACCAATCTCCCGATACCCCCGCGACTGAATCGGGGATGGGGGTTATGATAGAAGTTCGGGTTGAAGGGAACCGAACGCATATCGGTGATGTGTGGTGGTCGTTGGGGGCGACTTCTGTCCTAAAGCAGACAGTATGGTAAATGAGGTATATGATTTGATAGAATTGAGCTCGTTGAGCACTGCTTGTTTCTGTAGGATGGGTTTATATGCCATTCTCGGGGTATGGGGAATTGTCCGGGGGTGAGGTTTTGGGACCGAAGTTCGGGTTTAAGATATGGGCTGAGTCTATGGAAGGAGGGAGTAAGATTGTAAATTTATGGGGCTGCTGTGTTTGATTAGATGAGCACCGAAGAGCTATATGCTCATACGATCAACATAATCGTGGAGAATAAAAGTTTACCGAAAGTGCCAGGCAGGTACGTCCATAGATCGCCCGACTGCCACAAGCATCGTCTCGACGCCGGTAGCAGTGGCAATATGATATGCCTAATTATTATCATTTGGAGTGACAGGGGCCGTTTATATGCATTCTGTATGGGATTGCTGACGATATATTGCACTGGTTCATACAGACCGTGGTTGGTTTTGGCTAGATAATAATAATAGATTATCCCGAGTCGTGTGGTCTCCGGTATCTAAAGGGTCTGGTTATATCTTTTCCAGGGCCGACCGCGTCCAGCAAGAATGAAAACGCATCATAGCGTTTCAAGGGCACGCAGTCGTGGTTTGTAGGTTTGTAGAGTTCGGTTTTTGCTTGACTTGGCTTTGGATTACGGGTCTGCACATGCAGTAACAATTATCCTAACACTGACCCTAGATGAATGTAAGATTGATTGTATTTGACGCTCTCTGTTTTCTCTTATTTTTCTTGGATTGAAGGGAGACTGGACAGCCTCGGTTCACAAAATGTCTACTAGCTTTATTGCATTATCATTTTGCGTAGGCTATCTTATGGAAAGATGCAATGGTCATAATCGTGCTTAGACTAGAAATGCTCTTCATCACTGGCATCGCTCGTAACGGAATGCTTGGGCTAACAGAAAGGATAATAGAGAAGACTGCACAAAATCGATATTAGCGCCGAGTTCAGATGTAATGTATGCTGAGTCGGATAAACATTCTTTGCCGTTTAGCACAGTAACTCTCGAATGTCATGTCTACTTGGGTTAGTAGCTGTGCATGGCGAGCATGTGGACAGAGCTGTCGACTTAGATCCAGCCGGCATACTGATCGAGACCCTCATTTTTGACTCCATCTGAGCCGTGACGCACACCGAGGAGCCGGACAGTTCCGATCTTGCCACCGAAATCGTCCTCCACCTTACTCTCCCAGTTCTCGAAGAGCTCATTTAACTTTTTAAGTACCTCCTGGTCATCGCGGATCAAGACAGCAATCGCATCATAGCCTCCCGCACCAGGAACCACACCACCAATCACTCCGTCAATGGCTGACACTGCATCAAGCAGTTCTGTCTGTATTCTCGGCTCAATGGGGACTTCCGCCTTGCGGGTCATGCTGCGAAGGTGATTGCGTGAGCGCTGGATGAGGTTGCGGACATCATTGAAATCTTCGGGCGATTCTTGGTCAGGGCTCTGGGCTAGCTGCTTGAGCTGAAGACAGAGCCTTTCATTGTTCGACTGGAGGGCAGCCCAGAGAAGATCGGCTTCCTGCTGATTTTGTTTTCGCCATTCAAGCACTTTCTTGACCATCGAAGGGGAGTTTGAGCCGCATTCAACGTCGCACAGAACCATCTGCATGCCTCGAGGAAGTCGCATGCCGAAATCTAAGCACTCTGTATCCCACGGATGCTTAGGGTTGGCGTCCTCCACAACTGCAAACAACCGCTCTTCAAACCCAGGCGAACCGGCGTCACCGACGGATTCCAAAATGCTTGGAGAGAATCGGCGATATAGGCAAGATCCGTAGATAGCAGCAGCCACATCAAACCCGGATCCCACTTTACCTTGAGCGGCACAGTGGGCAGCCTGTGCCAAGTTATGAAGCTTGTCCCGAGAAGCTCCGAGGTCGTCTGGCTGTAGGGTACGGTGAATGACTAGGGACGATACTAGAGCTGTCACTAGAGCCGCGGAGGAACCCAGTCCTGTCTTGTGGGCCTCGTGGAGAGGAACACCGAAGTTCACAAATCTTCCAGGGGACTCAGAAGCCCTAGAGAAGGCGGTCTCAGAATAGTAATCAGTGTCGGCCAGAATGGTCACGGAGAGGGACCCAAAGTCCTTCGAGTCGGCTACATAGCTGATGTAGGTGAGAGCGTAGTTGAGAGAAGTTTCGACAAACGGATTAGGATGCCTGGATCCTTTAGTTTTTGAACAGTACCGGTCGAAAACACTCTCTTACCCTTCGTTCTTTTGGATTACTTTGATTCCACCTCCATTCTCACAACGCTGTATACCGTACTCCCACAGTGCATTGACAAATTGCGGCGAGCGTACAACCACGATGTCCTCGTTATCCTTGTTGTCTACAATACTTCCGTCCTCAACTGCCTCCGTATTTGGACCCCCCCTCACTGAGCTGAATGACGTACCACGCCGATGACCTCTTTTCAATTGTTGAACAATAACGTGGATCCTGGCATCGAGTGCGATAACCGTTCCCGTGTAATTGCGGTCTAAAACGAGGTAACCACCGGTAAGAAGGACCTTGCCCGGGGCAGACAAGGCGGTGCTCCTAGATGGCGGATAGGACATGAGGGTGGCTGGTGGTTGTTCGACCAGGAGGTTATCTTAAAATCAAACGGGCTGGTAAGTCGAACTGAATCTGGCGATCACTTCAACACTGAATCCCAATAATCAGTCACCACTCCATATATGTTTCTGAAGAAACTGTTGTCCGATTTTGTATAGAGTATTGGTTGCCCTGGATTGTACGCACCGATCCGAGGAAAATCAAATTGCAAAGGGCGAACGTAGGCGAGAGATCAGCGTTATCGACGACACGGAGAGGTACCCCCGGTCCCATGTAGTAATCTATGTCGTTTCTTTCCTGAATCGGTCAAAAGTGCCCCACCTCGAATCGTCACCGAAGATAGGATAGAGATGTTTGAGCCTGGGTGCCGCAGAAAATTCAGCTGTGCACGAAGCAAACAATACGATTATTATTATTATGATTAATTCTGTAAAAGAGACTGATTATATGTCGGGGAGGGAAGCTTTCCAGAGCTCGTATTATCGTTCCACTGATTGATTTCCATGTTGTGGCTGCAGCTGATATGAATTGTGGCTGAGACTCTAATGTTTGTGGCTTGAGCTCTGATGTGACGCCGCTGACTAAGGAGGGTCACTCCTCTCACTCGAACAACCTTCAAACACCCCAACAATCGGGTTTGATGTTCCATCATCATGCTATTTAATACTAGGTTGTCGGATTCTAACCACTATTATTGGTGGCAGTGAGCCGCCGAGAGTAGGGGTCGAAGGCTCGAAGCCTAGTTTATTAGGGTAACCGTTTATGCTCTGACCATCGTATGACATATCGGGAACTTCCCATCGGACATTTGATCAGGTGTACGGATACTCTTTTGTACTGTTCTCCGTCCGCCGTTACCCCCGTACTTATACTCAACAATAGATTCGGAAAACGAGTGAATAAGTACTGGCTAAGCAGGGGTTCAAACAAGACCATTGGCCCTAGAGAAAGACAAGTGGCCTCTTCTGCATGGGAGTTTATCCCTTTCGTCGAATAACATGACTGAGACGGCAATTACGTACCGCGATGGAGATGGAAGGAAAAGTTAATTCTGCCGTGCTCAGTCACTGCTGAGAAGGGAAAATTCAATACTCCGTACTCGCATTTTACTAATACCTTCCCACTTGTCCTCGAACCGTTTGGTATGACCATGGGCAAAACCCTAGCCATTCAAGCACAATAAAAAATATCGCCTCAGGCATCTCCGTCGGTCGTTCGGTCTTCGGATATCCGGAGCTTAGGATCCAGTCCCACACGGGGCTTAGACGCCAAACTCCGGAGGAGGGTCTAAAGAAAATGAGCCGGGACGCGGTGAGTCACGTTTGGCCAGACATCAAGAATTCCCGCTCCTGAATCTTCCTATGGCCCCAGTGTGGAAAGCTCGCCGATTGGGTTAAGTCCCCTGACGGCTTCTTATCCCGGGGTTCCAGGGCCACCTGACCTGTGTAAATAGCCTTAGGCAACGAGGGAATGACGAAGGTTATTTGTACTTTTTTTGAAATTTTTTTATTTTCTCGTGTTTTCTAGTTCGCATCGGACATGTTTAGAAGAAGCATAGCCATATTTCTTTAAACCTCCCCCTGGTTCCTGTCTGGGTTCCTTTTAAATGTAGGATTCTCTGCCCCCTGCGTCTTGTAGATACATACCCGAGGGTTTATTCCTTAGAATTCCATCCAAGACGATTCGTTCCCCCAAAGGTACGATCAGCTCTAGTACTAACCTATTGAATTAATTATCCTCAAAGAAGTCAAGTCGTTGCGGGATCGGCACTAACCTCCATTAGGATTGGTCAACGATTATTCTCGCCTTCTCTCAAATATCCATCCATTCCCTCTTGTCCGATCTGTCATATTTTTCGACACCTTAACGAAAAGATTTTTCCTCCCTTCGTCTCAATTCTCTTGTATATACCAGCGCGTTCCTTTGACGACCAGTTGTCGTCAAATGAACCTGCATCCTTACTATTATTTTGATTGCAAGGTAAGAATCAGACAACACATCACCAGAAGTCGGAAAGGTGGAACTAAAAGAATGGTCGCGTGACTAACGTTGAAATCAGCATTGCCTCTTCTCGCTGAAGAGGACTCCTGCCAGATAAATGGTCTTCAAACCGTTCACCCATCTCGCACGTCAGAGTTTCACCAAAGCCTTCACTCATGGCTATGCTCAGTCGGTAGTTGCGGCGTCGCAGTCTTCCTACGCGTCCTCTGCCACATTCAATCAACTCGCCAATCAACCGGCAAAGGTCTCCCGGAGCGCATTGCAAAATGTATTCCAACCCTCAAGTTCTTCCGGCGCTGGCGCCAAAGCCAGCCAGGGCGGCTCGGGCTCAGGAGACTTAGGTCTCGCGGCGTATTATGCCGCGTGGCAACACGCTCAGCAGACCGGTGACGATAGTGATTGGAAACAGTTTCAGGTGAAGCGGAAACTAGGGTGGAAACCGTCGACGCCGGAAGAAGCAGCAAAGTCCAAAGAGGATGGCGTGAACTCGACGAATTCCCATAACTTCGACTCACCCCATATCACGAAGGCCTCCGCCAATGCCGATGTCAGCGCTCAGGTTGAGGAGGCGGTAGCTCGAGAGATTCAGATCCAGGAAGAGCAAGCCCAAGCTGAGGAGGCATCCGAAACAAAGGATGACTCGGCCACTGAGGCATTCCCTGAACTACCAGCAGACGTAGCTGCCATCGCGGATGTGTCCACGGAACAAGCTCGTATTGCCTCCGACCAGATTGTCCAGCTGGCTTTAGCAAAGAAGTACGCTGAGATCCCCAGTGCATTCGAATCACTGCTCAGAGATGGCTTGACTCCCACGGTCGGTGCTTACAATGCCCTGCTGGAATCGGCTGTGCGGCTTCATGGTGACACCGCCCAGGCAATCCCGAAGGCACTGGATGTCTATTCTGATATGCTCCGTCGTAGGGTAATTCCCGACGAGCAGACGTATCGGACTCTCGTCCAGCTCTTCGTGGAGCGCGCACACGATGCCCTGAAGTCCAAGAAATCGCTCGAGCAGGACCGGGTCCGCTACGGAGGAATGGAAGAGCCTGGCAAGTTCATGCTCCACTCAAGCGAGTTGGAGCGAGCCATTCTCGATGAGGACCATTCGCTCGGTATCGCCATCAAACTGTTTGACACTGCTACCACAAGACACACCGATCTCGTATTTCCATTAGACACCTACAGCCGCCTGATTATCGCTTGTGCGAGAGAAGGCCAAGTTGAGAATATGATCCGCATTTACGCCCACATGGAAACCCACAAAGTTACACCGCATGCCTCTATCTTCCCGTCGATGATCGATGCTTTCGCCTCTACTGGAGATCTGAAGAGCGCTGTGGAGTGCTACAACGAGTATAAGGCTCTCGCAATCTCAGACGACAATGGTACGTTCAGCATCGTTCAACGCCTGGATGGCCAGGTGTACGCTGCGTTGGTCAAAGCGTATCTATCGTGTGGTAAGGAGAAGGAGGCTTTGCGCTTTTTGGAGCGGATCCGGGCCTCTTTCGATGAGGTGACAGAAAACCGAGAAACTCGGAAAGATGCTGTTGAAACCGTGATCGTTAGAGATGGCCTTGTTTCGCACTCCTTGAAATCGGGTGAGCATGATAAGGCGTTGAGTCAAGCTAAGACACGGTTGCGCGATGGGGCCCTGGATCATGCCATAGCCGAAATCTGCATCGCCGCGGCGGATGCCGGTAACCTCAAAACGGCTTCCGAAGCATACGATTGCTTGCCTACTGATACCGCAAAACGTCATGGCCCTGCTATCTCGATGCTGGCATTATACGTTCGTCAAGGCAACGTGTCGGCGGCTAGGCCTCTATGGGTTATGCTAAGCACTGTGGGTCAGACAACGCCGGACATGGTTCAGCCGACAGCGATGTATTCGGTGGCCTTATTGAAGAGTGGTCAGATCGAAGAAGCCCTAGTCGAGGCCCGTAATATGTTTGGCCGGGTCCGCAACGCTTCGATCGACAACCCTTATCAACTCAACTCCGTCCGGGAACAGATCAATGAAAGTCTTCATCTCATCGGTCGCGAAATTATTCAGACTGCTGCCGTCCTCTCTCCCAAAACTGTCATGACTCTCCTTTGGTCAATGGTGGAAAACGGTGGACTGGTCTCCCCGGTCGCTGACCACGCTGTCGCTAGCCTCGGTCCTATTGCCATCCAGCAGCTCAACCCCCGCGACCTAACTCTTGCCCTCCAGGTCCAGGCTGGCATGCTTGTCAACAGCTCCGCGTCTTTGGATGTTGCGCACCCGATCCGCTTTTCTCACATGCTTGACATTGCCTTGGCTACCGGACTTCAAATGGATCCCTACACTACTGGCGTCGTCGACCAGGCGGTCGGGAAGCTATTCAACAGCCGTCCTGACATGGTAAGGAGGTGGCACGACCACCTTGGCCTCACCTCCAGCCCATCTTCGTTCTTGTCCGATCGCCACACTCCAGTCTCTGAAATGTCGACGATGACCTCCGCGCCTAGCGAAGACTCCTTCGATCCATACGCGTATGCCACCGATTTCAAAGGATCTGCGATGATTGCCGAACAGTTGGAAAGCACCAGCGGTCGCCCCGAGTCCCACCTCAACGATGCTGTCACTCGGCTTCGGAACATGCGCCGCTCTGGGCGCCATCCTCGCTACATCACGTATGCCAAACTGATCACCGCTGCCGCTAAGTGTCATCGCAACGATTTGGTTCATGAAATTCTAAGCATGGCTCGCCGCGACGTCCCTCTCTTGCACCAGTATCACGCTGTCAAGTACGGCTGGGTGTCAATTCTTGACGCCATGGTAGCCTCCTGCCTTACCCTGAATGATCGCAGTCTCGCCTCCAAGTATCACCAGGAGCTTTCGGAACTTGGCTCTGCTCCATCTGCCAACACCTTCGGTCTTTACATCACCACGCTCAAGGAATCAACCAAGACCTTCGACGAGGCGACCGAAGCCCTGAAGATCTTCCACCGTGCGGTCGCCGAAGGGGTTGAGCCTACTTCGTTCTTGTACAACGCCTTAATCGGAAAGCTTGGCAAAGCCCGTCGTATTGATGATTGTCTTTTGTATTTTGCCGAGATGCGTGCTCAGGGTGTGCGTCCCACCAGTGTTACCTACGGGACAATTGTGAACGCCCTTTGCCGAGTCAGCGATGAACGGTTCGCCGAAGAGATGTTCGAGGAGATGGAGTCGATGCCCAACTACAAGCCTCGCCCAGCTCCCTACAACTCCATGATTCAGTACTTCCTGAACACCAAACGCGACCGCAGCAAGGTTCTGGCGTACTATGAGCGCATGCTCAGCCGTAATATCCAGCCCACCATGCACACTTACAAGCTGCTCATCGACGCATACGCCTCTCTGGAGCCTGTGGATATGAAGGCAGCGGAGAAAGTACTGGAAACCATCAAAGCCGCCGGACAGCAACCCGAGGCCGTGCACTATGCATCTCTCATTCATGCTCATGGCTGTGTGATGCATGACATGAAAGCTGCCCAGGGAGTCTTCAACTCGGTCGTCTCCAACAGCAGAGTGCGACTCCAGCCATGCCTGTACCAGGCCCTCCTGGAGGCCATGGTGGCCAACCACCAGGTCGCACAAACTGAGGACATTGTCAAGGATATGGCCCAGCGTAGGGTCGATATGACTGCCTACATTGCCAACACTCTTATTCAAGGGTGGGCCACGGAGGGCAACGTGAGCAAAGCTAAGACCATCTATGATAGCATTGGTGTGGACAAGCGGGAGCCCAGCACTTACGAGGCTATGACTCGTGCATTCCTCATGGCGAACGAGCGAGAGAACGCCTCTCGCATTGTGCAAGAGATGCTGTCTCGTGGATACCCGACCGCTGTCGCCAGCAAGATTGTGGATCTTGTCGGTGGCGGTGCCGCGGTCGCTGCTGCCCTGTAGGCACTCGCGTCATCCACTGACGAACCGTTGCCTTCCACCCTCTCGTTTCAAGCAGGAATAAAATCACTGCTTTCAATCGAAAAGGGATAAAAGAATATTCATTTTTAATATGTTCTCAGGGCTGGATCCCTGTCTTTGGCTGTTTCCAGCCCATTTGGTCTTCGCATTGGCATTTGGGAGGCAATACCATGCCTATTTGGTGTACATTTTGTCCTACATCTTGTTTATGGTTTGCATTCAGCGAGCGGATATGGCGTTCATGTAAAAAAGGGGTTATGATGCTGTTTGGTTTCAGGGCTATTTACTATTTCTTATTTGTTCGATAGACACTCCCAACTCTCCAGTCAGGAAGATCCTGGCTGCAATTCTTTTTGAATTCTAAGACTTCTGTGCTGTCCACAGATTAGTTTTGGATAATCAATACTAAACTTATGAACCGGAGAAATTGCGGTTGCTTCCAAGTCTTGCGTAGAGAGTAAATAAGCCTGTAATTGATCTGGTTTACGGAGTATTGGCGACGGACTTTGGCATCGGCGTTTATCGGCCAACCCCGCGGAATAGATTAAGTCATTCAACGATGCAACGGTCACACACTTCAAACCTCCCACTTTCTGACTCCTCGTTCATTCAACTCCAATTACTTCCTCGTCGGTAGAAGACAGCCTATGCGTCCTCTCCGGCTGTCATCTTCGACTTACTTCTCTCTCCGGCGCATACAATTCGCTCAGTGCTATCACCAAACCCCGCGACACCTATCCGCCATGAGCTCAGAGAATCCAACAGCTGATCATCCCGCCAGCCCAGGCGATGACCATGGGAAACACCCCAGAAAGCTAATCTGTAGGTTCTACTCGTCCGAAAACCACGGGCATAACCACAGTTCTAGAAGCATAGCTGCTGACACACCCCCGCATTCGTCAGTTGCACCGGGTGACATCCAAGTATCAACCCCTAATGACCAAACAACGCCTCCCCACAAGCCGGACACCGCTACACCTGCCAATATCTCCCGACTCGTCGCTGAGGCCCTTCGGTCGGAGACCTCCACGCCCAACTCCGTTACCGAAAGCCAGATTGTCTCCCACCCCGCTCGCGCGCATCAGTTCGTGACCAACCCGCCACTCACTGTCTCCCAGATGCACCCCACCAATCCGCTCCATCAGTTCCATACCTGGTTCCGCGACCCGCGGCTGTCTGCGTCATCAGCCCCGGAAACTTGTACGCTGGCTACGGCGTCTTTGCCCTCTGGTCGGGTGAGCGCGCGCGTTGTATATCTGAAGGAGCTTGACGAGCGGGGCTGGGTAGTCTACAGCAACTGGGGCAGTCGGCAAGGGAAGGGCGCACAGGTCTTTGGTACTCAAGCAGATGGAGATAGCGTTCTGGGTGCCATGCCCGAGCCCGGCGCAGATGATGACGAGATGCCACAAAGGAACAAATGGGCAGCTCTCACATTTAGCTGGGGAACTACCGAACGGCAGGTGCGTATCGAAGGCCTCATTGAACCCCTTAGCCGCGAAGAGAGTGAACTATACTGGCGGACCCGCGAACGGGGTAGCCAGATCGGTGGCTGGGCCAGCTGGCAGAGCAAGGTGCTCTGGTCCGCAGAGCCAGACAGTCTGATCGAGCGGCGGCGGAAGAGCCTCGCGCAGGATGTGTTCCCCCAAGCTATTCCGGGAGACGTGGATGAAACGGATATCGACGATGGCCGGGCGCTGCTGGAGAAGCGAGTGCGCGAAATGGAGGAGAGGTTTGCCAATACGGAGCAGATCCCATTGCCTCCGTTCTGGGGCGGCGTGCGTCTAGTACCGGAGTCGGTAGAGTTCTGGCAGGGCCGGCGTAGTCGGCTGCATGATCGGTTCCGGTATGTGAGGGTGCATGACCCCCAGAGTGACTCGTATAAATGGCGAATTGAACGACTTTCGCCGTAGAGTAGAGTATAGATTAGATGGGTTACTATACATAACTAGCAAATAGCGATATTGGTATTTGGTCGATGAGACATATTCTGTTTACTTATAGTTGCTAACACTTGAAGCTCGTGCTCAATATTGAGCCGTCGAAATAACTAGAGATCATGCTCATCGAGGGGATTTATTAGATATTGCGATTGTCATACATTTAGAATAGGCCATTATCCGGATCCAAATAAGAGGCTTCACAGGGACTAAAACCCCAAAAGCCCATAATATTTCCAATAACTATCAAGAAGAAAATCACTACCAGCTATCTATCCCTAATACATCAATAAAAAAAAATCAACACATAAAATCCGAAACCGTACACATACAAAAGCAGCCCTATTTCCCAAGTACCCCAAAATACTTGGCAAGACCCGCCAAGACACAACCTACACTCCAACATATCAACAACCATCCGTCTACAAACCAATTCTCCTTAACCCCAACCAACCTCATCAACTAAAACCCCGCAGTATATAACAAAAACAGAAACAAAAACAAGAATATATAAAAATGTCCACACACTCCCGCTGGGTAGTCCTAGCCTTAGCAAGCGGCGCATTCGCCGCCCTAAACGGCCTCTTCGCGAAACTGTACGTATTCCCCTACAATCATTCCTAAGATAATCAATAAGATAAGATAATCTAACAAACCCCCCCCCCCCCCCCCAGAACAACCGATACCCAAACAACAACCTTCTCGAAATCTCTTCTCGCCTTCTTAAGTCTAACAGGCGATCATCCTATCCTGGAGATGTTGGTTAGGGGTGTATGATTCTCCCGTCCCCTTCCGTCTTATCTGAGAATTGCCCCCCTTGGGGGGTGGAGCTCATTGTTTAATTGTACGTTATGTAAGTCGTATGTGTGCTAAGAGTGGGAAAAACAGGCTTGTCTGGGACTTAATGTCCTCTGTAATGTGATTATGTGGGCTCTTTTTACGAGGGCCTTGACGGCTGCGCCGTCGACGGTGAAAGTGTCGATTACGAATACGGCGGCGAACTTCCTTGTTACGGCCATGCTGGGGATGTTGGTTTTTAGGGAGGAGGTTGGAGGGCTTTGGTGGGTTGGGGCTGGGATGATGGGGGGTGGGTGTGTTTTGGTTGGGATGAGGGATAATTAGTTTTCTTTCTCTTTTGGGCTTCTTTTGGTTTGTTACTTGTGGTAATTGGATTGGGGTAGATGATTATTGTAGAGTATGTGTGTTTATATCAGTATTAGTATAGATTGGTTAGATGGGTTTATGTGATTGTTTGGCTGTAGGATGGAGATCTGGGTACTAATGCTCAGGATATATGATTTATGTTATTCTAAAATTCAGAACGATTCGAATCATACAAGTTCTATATCTATATACATATACATATAAACATGGACAAGGATATCACTATTGCCGTTCTTCTAATTCCATCAGTCTGTCGTTTTCGTCATCAGTACCGGTGGATATCCCCCTTCCTTCGTGGCGGTCGGACAAAGCGACTCGACCCGTTGGCCGCCAACGGGGTAACTTGGAGCCCACTCGTTGTATGAAGTTCCACACGCGCTCCTCTAGCGTGTCGCCGGATCGAGCACTCGCCTGGTCTCCCAGTGGGCCATCCGAAGCCTGGGTCGCGGCAAGTGCGTGTTCCTGAGCTTCAACCTTGAACTGGTACTTAAGACAGTCTTTGACAGTGACAAGGCCAGTTAAGCGGCCACGGTGCTCGACGAGGATGACGCGAGGTCCAATCTTCTTGAAGATTTCGATCACGGTCTCAAGGGGCAGACGCGGGTGCACGGTCAGCGGCGTGTGGTCCGCGTATCTGCTGAAGTCCACGAAGCTGGAACCGACACTCTGTTGGATAGCATCAAAGGTATCAGGAGCTAGATGATGTGGCGAGGAAGAAGACGCTCTGCGTGCTACTGAAGCTTCAGCAGCTTCTTTGGTGAACACACATCGGGCATTGGGCGAGAGAATGCCTTCCGCCCTGGCACGGTCAATGGCGTACCGTAGTTCCGTGCGGCCAATGTACCCAACGAGTGTTTTCTTCGTTCGGTTGTCGACGATGGGAAAGCCTTGGAATTTATTGTCGCTCAGAAGGTGCTCTGCTTCGCGAACTGGAAAATCGGACGCAGGAAGCGTGACGGGGTCGGCCGTCATCGCGTGCGACACAGGGACGTTGAAGACATGGTCTTCCTTATTATCAAGGAAAGGAAAACCATTGGACCAGATCATTCGGTCCGCGATGCCACCATTGCCAAAGCGGCTACTGACGGCTTTTGTGACTCCTACCACGATCTACAAGCCAGCCATGTTAGTTGCATATGATAAGATGCTCTATGGGCATGAGCGTACCATGGTAGGGAGGATATAAGTCAATGCTCCGGTCAATTCAAACATAATGACCGTGACTGAGATGGTCAAATGCATGATGCCACTCAAAGCTGCTCCTGCGCCTAAAAACGCATATGTTCCTGGCGTTATACATGGTACATCCGGTTCACAGGCCGCGAAAAACGCCGAATCAGGGAAATGCTCGTGCAACGCCTGGACAATAACCCCAACCAAACGGCCAAACGATGCTCCGATCGCCATCGACGGTACGAAAATCCCCGCAGGTACTTTGCAACCGTAGGATATGATGACCAGGAATATACGGAGAATTGTCGCGATGGCGAGCGACCCAACCAAAGGCCACCGGTTTTTGGACCTAGCATGGTAAGCAATGCTTGTGAGTCTCCTTAGAATTACTTACTCGCAAAGACCATGGTAGTCATGACCGCCTTCACACTCGCGGAACAAGATCTCCATCATCTCTGTCATGTTAATCTTCAAGAACATGTTCGGATAGCATAGCACAGCCGTTATCGCTGCTAGGATCACCGATTCCATAACAGCATGTTGAGAGAGATATTTCTTCCGGAATGCTTGGACCCGAAGGTTCCACTTGATCACAAAGGCCCCGTACAATCCACCAAACACACCAAGAAAAATAAAAAATATCAACTCGAAGAAATGCCAGGTACGATCGTATTGGACCTGGAACATAACCAGCTGTCCAGTCCTGAAAGGGTTCATCGCCTTGGGCATGTTAGCACTTGACAGTCGATTACATGGGAGTACTAACCGCCAATACGCCGGTCGCTACCAAGGCACAAAAATAGCTGCGCCATAGGGTTTTGAGTGGGAAATATGATGCCATTTCCTATACAGAATCAGTATCTGGCCTGAGCAATAGATATGCATATCCGTACCTCGAGGGAAAAAAGCACGCCTCCAATGGGACTACCAAACGCGACAGCCACGCCAGCCGCGGCTGTAGCCGTCAAGACCTCCCTGGTCTTCGAAGCACTTTGTTTATATTTGCTAAAGAGCCGCGAGATGACATTTCCCGCACACACGGCAAAGTGAACGCTAGGCCCCTCTTTACCCACGGAGAGGCCGGAGGCGATGGCCAACGGCAACGCAATGGACTTGATCAAGAGCGTCCACGCACCCAAGAAGCCCTTCATAACAAAACCAGCTATGATGCATTTTATTTCGGAGATACCGGAACCAGCCGCATAAGGGGCGAACGATTTGACCAGACTCGCAGCAATCAAGGCAAATAGCATCTGTCTGGGACTTAGCAACAACCTCTGCAGATCATGGAGCATGGATAACGTACCGCATAGCAGATATAGATGACATAATTCAAGAGCCACCAAGAAGTCCAAGTCTTCCATTCGGGGCAGCCTGAGAATTTGTGAGCCCCAACACATTAGCTAGTAAGGCGGCAGTCGCAACATACCTCCCTCCGCGCCCCAGCAACAGAATGATTCATTGAGGTAGAATGCTGTTGTACAATGGCCTAGCTTGATATCCGACAACCACTCGGTGATAATGTTTAAAAAGGCGGAGATAAACCCAATGACAGCGCCAACGATCGTGATAACTAGCCAAGCTTGTCCAGCATCGTAGGACTCGCGCACTTTGCGTCTCCACCCAAACGCGCCTTCTTGATCCCAGAAACCAAACCCATCTCGCCGCTTCGCTCTCCGTCGCGCTTGCTCGTGTACCGCATCCTGAACCCAATCGATAGTTGTAAAATCCTCGTATCGTTTGATCTCACTGATTTCTTCTGTGATTGCGGTGGAGTGACCGTTGGCTGGTTGGTGGGCGGCCGAGGTGGTGGATAAGCCTGATAGCCTCCTCCAATTCCGACGCTCAGATAGTACTGAGGGTGAGCGCGGGGAGGTTGATGAGTCAGGCATTGAGCTCATACCATAGATTGAATGTGCGATGGGAGCATAGTCAAAGGCAACCGAGAAGAGTAGGTGGTAGAGCTATTCCTCTCGGGGTATGACGACCGATTGATTGATAGTAGCTTCATGATCGAGGGAGAGCGGCGCGGCCACGTGAGGAAGCAAGCTAAATGATTTCCCGCCTTTCGGCAGATAAGAACAAAGGAACAATATCTCAATAAATCATTTGGGATCAATTCAATTGAGACTATGGAAGTGTTGTAAAGTATCTATAAATGACATTGACCAGGAGAATTCAGGAACAGCAGATATATAATAAAAGCTCGCTAGTTGTAGTCGATCTGTGGTGTGGGATCCAACTAGATAACTAAATGCGTATTTTATCGGCACTGACGCCACGCGCTATATGGATTTCCACGCCGCACGCGCCAGGCTCAATTGCCTAACACCTCCTACACACTTCAAATAATTATCAAGTTTCTAGATCAACACAAGAACAGCCGAGACTAACACCTCACAACATTGACTTCGGTTTTTTTTTCCCGCAATATTCAGCAAAACCTTCCCTTTCTCTGCCCTAAATTTACGCTCGACGCGACCCCACGATGCCTCCCAAGGAGAAGTCCACCCCGGATTCTGCGCCCTCCCATGAGATCACTGGACAGAGCGCTCTTCCTAGTACGCGAAGTAAACCCATCGTAATGGATATCGCCGGTTGACTGGTTCTGCAGTTTCGCGGATAAAGAAAATCATCCAACTAGACGAGGACATAGTACAATGTTCAAGCAACGCTACGTTTGTAATCGCGATGGCTACAGTGCGTGATTCTCTTGCCGCAACCTTATACTTCCCTTCCCTTCACTAACTAGCTTAGGAAATGTTCATCCAATATCTCACAGAGCAAGGGCATAATGTCGTCAAGTCCGAACGGAAACCACGGAAGCTCATCCAATACAAAGATTTAGGTCAGTCGCGAACAGCGTTTTCCAACATCATACAGTGTACTGATGGATAAACATCATAGCTACGGCGGTTTCGCGGATCGATAATCTAGAATTCCTCTCCGACGTTATTCCCAAGACGACCACCTATAAACAATTCAAGGAAAAGAAGGCCAAGGAAGCCATCAGAGAAGCCGAAATCGAGAAAGGACAGCGCACATTGAATGGAACGGTACCGCATGCCAATGGAGAGTCAGAGCATCAGGAGGAACTACAAGCTATAGAAGAAAAGCCATCAAAGAGCCCTCGGACACCGGTGGTCATGCATGCGACTGGCGCAGTGAGCACGCTGGTGGTCGACCGGACTGTTGACAACCAGAGCAAGGGAGAGGATGGGGATGTGGAAATGATTGACCAGTGAACTGGACCTCTGTAATGTTCCAATATCAACCGATGGAGTTGCATGTATGGGGAGTTCTGGGTTTGGGTGCTTCTTTTGTTGGCAAAAAGATCGTGTTATGATCACTTTTGCATTTGGGTTAATTGGGAATGGACGGAACGGGAAATCACGGGCAAAATGGTCTCCGTCAGCTTGGGAACAAGTCAACTCGTTGTTTGGGTTACCTTTATATATCAAAGAATAGAGTAATGAAAAAACAAAAAAAGAAATAAAAGTAAATTAAATTTAGACATGAATAACGTGAGCTAATTGCCCATGGTATGATATCAATTTCGAATTAACTTCATGATTACCGAGTACCAATTATAATTGTATTGATAAATAGTGTAGAAAATAAGGTGAGTGTCGGAGTGTGACCCCAATCAGCCAATGAGGCGCCCCGTGATTCCGAAGCGAAAGCTCTGGTTCGACTTTCCGTATGCCGCGCCTCCGACTTCAACCTCCAACATCTGGAAAATCCTCCCTCGTCCACCTTGACTCCCCCCTCCACCCCCCTCAAACGGTCGTCCGTCTTTGCAATTGACTGCAATTGCTTTGCCCGCCATGTCTCTCTCCTCCGCTTCCAGCACTCTGTTGCGCGCTTGCGCCCGCCAACAGCTGCCCACTTCTCGCGCTGCCATCGCCTCCTGCCAGCAGCGGAGGGGAGTCGCTGATGCGTCCAAGTCATCCTTCGAGAGCCCTTTCACCAGCGCCAAGGAATCCTCGACCTACAAGATCCCTGACTTCAGCAAATATGCCTCCAAGAAGCCCCCACGCTCCAACCAGGTCTTCTCTTACTTCATGGCCGGTTCCCTCGGTCTTGCCTCTGCTGTCGGTGCCAAGGCTACTGTTCAGGGTAGGTCTTCCCTGGAGATTATCGATTGAGATGGAGGAATGCAAGATATCAGGATGGCGAATTGAGATGGTCGGGTTATGGAGATAATTGGCGGTTTGGATCGGGTTATCATTTGGAGCATGCGGCTGATGACAACTTCACCAACAGACTTCCTGGTCAACATGTCCGCCTCTGCCGATGTCCTTGCTCAGGCTAAGGTTGAAATCGGCCTTGCTACCATCCCTGAGGGCAAGAACGTATGTCTCGATTATCCCTACGAAGCTGTTTGTTGTGATGTATGTTTGGCTGACCCGATATCAAACAGGTCATCATCAAGTGGCGTGGAAAGCCCGTCTTCATCCGTCACCGTACCCAGGATGAAATCAACGAGGCCAACTCCATTGAATGGCAAACTCTCCGTGATCCTCAGGCTGATGAGGATCGTGTTCAGAAGCCCGAGTGGCTTGTCATGCTTGGTATGTGATCCGATCCGGAACGATATCATGTATGTCTCTGCGATATCTAATACCTTACTCCACTTCAGGTGTCTGCACCCACCTTGGTTGTGTCCCTATCGGTGAATCCGGTGACTTTGGCGGCTGGTTCTGCCCCTGCCACGGTTCTCACTACGACATCTCCGGCCGTATCAGGAAGGGTCCTGCCCCTCTGAACCTCGAGGTTCCTCAGTACAGCTTCCCCGATGAGAGCACCCTCGTTATCGGTTAAACGAATCAAACGATGCCAATTCGAGCGAACGGTTTATCCGACGGACGGGAAACGACGTTGAAGGGGATGAGAGAGTGAAGGTTTGTAACTGCACTTTAGATGAAATCTCTGTGTCTTGTCAAGATTAAGGAGACCCTGTTTTAATATGGATCGATTAGAAAAACTGAGCCTCGTGTTTCTATTACTTTCAACAACTACCCTGTCCGCTTTTCGCTCCTAGAGCCTGTACCACTCCTTATTCATGGGGTTTTTTCTTCCCATTGTTCCTGGGTATAGAACTTTCTGTCATTGGCCGCCTTCCCGTCTCTCTGCACTTCTTGTTCTTTTGATATCTTAGAGGGACTGAGGGGAGTAATGATGAAGACAGGAGTCGGTCGACATAGATGTATACCTTTTGTATGTCGGTTACTTGTATCTACATAGTGTTTTACTGGTTATATTCACATGCGATTCCTTTTGTCCGTTCATACCAATGTGCATGGCCTCAAGCGTATGGTTTTATCGGTATCGTATGCTTAAAGAAGCGACGCAGTTATTGGAGAAGGAAAACCGGTACATGACAGCAAGATGCTAGCTCAAAAGTGACGAAACCCAGACTGAAATCGTCACGATACCACGGCCGTATCGAACATAAGGCAAGACAGCATCATACAGGTGCTAGGTAAAGCCGAGTCGAAAACTAGCGGTGAACAGCGGCCAGCTCATTGATATCTTATGCGACACCGGCAATATGAATTTTTGAAAGAGCGGCCCATGCTCAGATTATGTTTTCCAAAACGGGGCAATGGCAACAGGTAATCATTCATTCAACTATGTTACACAAATGCTCTATGCGAATATCTATACCACATTTATACAGCATTTCAAACAGATTAATGGCACGCTAATTACAATGACTCATCTAGCCTGACATGCTTACACGCAGTCATTTCACCGCGGCCGGATAAGAGCAATCACTAGACCCATGATAGCTGCGCCAGCAGCCGCGCTCTGAAGAGCGAGGGACGACAGGTCCCGTTGGGTGATGACTAGGTTACGATCGCTGAAAAGATCACCGATATACTGACGCCAGGATTCAACGGAGGCAGGAGGGGGCAAGCGTGAGAGTTGAGATTTGGCGGATTCGAGGAGGTCATTCAGGGAGTTCTGGTTGTTGGGTGTTGTTGGTGTGTCGGGTGCGGGAGTCGCTGAGTCTGGGACGTCTGGGTTTTCTGCTGAGACTACATTGGAGGCAGTTTCTTCAGCGGCTGGGGATGATGCAGCTGCGATGATAGGAGCGGATGAGTCTGTGGTAGAGGGTGCGGCGGAAGCCTGTTGAGCGGCATTGACAGGAGCCAGGATCTCAACGTGGTTCATGGTCTTTTCCTTCTCAATGGCTTCAATGACCTTCTCCTCAAAACCCTTGACTAGCCTCTTCCGGCGCCACGGTTCCACGGCAATCTGGAAGATCAGGAAAAGGAGAACGTTCACGCCCATCAGACCCCACGTACCCCAGGTACTCATGCGGCGGATCTTGTCCGACCAGACTTGCTCCTCGTGGTACCGGGACAGAATGCTTTTGTTCAATTGCGCGGCAGCTTCCTCGGACTCGCGTTCTGCTACCGATAGAGCTTCCTGGGCCTCATTTTCGGCTACTTCGTTGGTGTGGTCGTTACGGTAGAGGTGGGTGAATCGTTCCAGATCTGATGCCGACCAGGCATGTTTCCGCTGGAGAAGTTCGTTGACTTCACGCTGCGAAGTTGATCGATTGTTGATAGCAGCTGCATATGCGTCTTTGGCTTCGCGGACTCGAAGGCGGGCAGCTCGGAGTCGCTCCTCTGTTGGGAGGATTGGCGGTCAGTAAAGACGATCAACTTCTCTCTGGGTGAAAGGCCATGGGTAGATCTGTTTCATACCTTGAGTGTGTATATCTTTCTTAAGTGCTTCAATGGATGAATAACCAGTCAAATCGTTCAATCGCTGGCCTGCCACGAAAATGTTGGATTGAAGGTTATCCATCATGGTAGTAAATTGTTTGGAAACCTGGGACCTGTGGTTCTCAAGATACGACGGCAGGCCCTTACTCTCGGTTCCTTGGGGTTTCACATCATTCTTAGCCTGCTGTGCCTGAACCTGTTCAGTCTCATTGCTCTCCTTGGCAGAAGGGGGAGGCTCCAAGCTCCCCGCTCCAAGATAAATCGTTGAGCTCCCCTCGGACGAACCCGTAGCAGGTTGGTCCTTGTCCGCCGGCTGCTCAGCAGTCTTTCCATCTTTCAATTTTTCTGTATCATTGGACGAGTACAGCGCAAACTGCGACCGAAATTGGCATTGTACGCAAACTGAAAACTGCCGCCGTGGATCTGAACCAGCAGGAAGATGCTTCGGGCCAACGGCGGAAAGAAGAGGTGATCGGACCGGACGAGAGGTTCTTGAGAAGGTGGCGGTTGATCGGAGGGACTGCCTGAGCAGCAATGGCATGGACTGCATGGCCGGTTTGAAGGGCCACGAGAACCTGACCAAACGCTGGTTCTTTTGTTGAATTGCAGTCGGGTGAGTTAAGGCTGGTTGGGGAGTGGATGCCGGAGGAAAGGCGGGAAAGTCGGCGGAATCGAATCGCCCGCGGTTTTCTTCGGGTTTCTGATAAGAGCCACGATAAGTGATTCTGTACCACCATGCAATTTATATGGATAGATAGAGATGGCTTCAAGAATGTATACAGTATATTACTTGTAAAGGCTCATGAAGATTCTTTGGTAGGATTTGCTTCGAGTCGACAATATATAATGTAGTGGATTTTATTACTTGGTTAAAGAAAAAGAGTACATTGAAGGCTGGAGTGACGTTAATACATGTATGATATCCTTCGAAATTCGGATAGTATTGTTTCCTCGTGCCGCTAGCATTAAAGACATGAATAATTCCATACAGATGATAGTCTCGTAACCCATAACATTAGAGAAGTACAAACAATTACAAAAGGTCAAGTAGCAACTGAGGCAGCCCTTACACACAGCAACAGTCCAGATAAGTGATTGGTAGATAGTGATACGAAGGCGTTTCACACACGTCTATCAGTCCTGCACCTTATGGTCACCCTTCACGGCTTCGGCGTACGTAGGTGGTGGTCGCGAATCACCCTGTGTTTGATCGCTGCTGCTACCGGCCGCGGGCTCATTCTGGGGCTTAGGAGCGGACTGTGATTGCTGTTGCGGCGCCGCCGTATTTGGCGCCACAGTGCCGTAGCCTCTCTGAGACGGGTGCTGGATCTGTTGATGAGAAACGTAGTAGTATGTCACATGGCCGTTTTCGACGTCCCTTCGATGAGCACCCCCGGAAATTGGTTCGTAGTAAGGATCATCAGGATCCTGCTCTGGATATTTGAGAATGATATACCAGGCATGTAGTAGGCCCGGCACATAGCCGAGACAACAAAGGGCAAGGTTGATGATCGAGTCTGCTGTACAAATGCCTACTTTAATCCATACTGCGCAACGTTAGCAGGGCATGTCAACGGCAAGTGTTTGTTAAATAGTAGTGACTCAGTCAGAGGATCATTGGTACATACCTGAAACAGGTGGGAAGAATATCGCGAGGATCGCGAGGAAGACGTCGGAGCCGCACATAATTGCTGTAGTATATTTGGTACTACCCGAATGGACTTGCTCTCATGCAAAAAAAACTGATATAAAGACGCACGTAGTGTATTCTATGATTGGTATAATAGACCAAGTAAACGTTGATAATGGCTTGCAGAGGCTGTGATGACGACAGCGGAGATACCCATCGGTTGATGCCTACCTTCTGTGGCTGTTCGGGTCAGATGACGTCGTTGTGATCACCTGACCTTTGTCAGAGGCTGTCGAATCAAATCCCTAAGGAGGCACTAAAGACATATAATACTTAAGGTAGTGTTGAAGATCTTAGATTTTTGATCCCTATTTAGAATGCAAGGCTACTATGTTACGCTTATGGCCGAGTAAAGGGCTTTAGTGGGTAGCTGTTTCTTTTCTGGTAAAGGTAATCGTGAGTCCCCAGATATATATATTTTTACACCATCTACAGATACAGAGTACAATGAATGCATTATAAACCTTTCCCTCAACTTCAAATACATACCTCAAATCCAACATATCATTCTCATTGACACGTAACCTACACCATTTATAATAATACTCCTAGGTAGATCTACAACGGAATGTAGATTAGGGTTATGATATACTGATTGCACCATATACACTTTATGATCAGTGCAAACCTTCTTCTCGCATTGACTTGGGCTGGCGCACACTCGCTCAACGACTCTGGAGGGGTCTTCTAGCGACTAGGTGCCTATTTATAGGCGTGCATATCATGTATGTTGAAAAGTGAATTCTGAAATATATTAACAATACAGAGTACTGTGTACAGTGGATACCAGTCCACTCTCAGCCTAACTACAGGTATATGTGATTACTAAATGCAGAATATAAATAGTTAACTAACTACGGAGTCGTTAACTACGTATATTATGCGTGTAATAAGGCGGATTATATATGGGCCGGTGTAATGAGACAATATCTGAAAAAAGAAAAGAACAGGAATTGAAATTTTGCGCGACGGCAGTGCTGGGGGGCTCGCTTGAGTCTTGATTAAATTGGGGGAGCTCCACTTAAATAGTTGCTGAATGTGCTGGATGTGGAGTATCCCGGAGGATTTGTGCAATTAATATTATAATTAACCTTGCATTCTTTCATGGATACGGAGCATTCGAGGGTTCGTACCTTAATTTGATATTCAAGAGTTGTACTCCTCACACCGGGCAAACTCGCCCTTGCATGCCAAGATGAATTTTCCGAGGTAAGGAATCTGTAGCACCTGTGCTGCAATGCTCCTGGACTAATATATTGATCGACACATGAGACTGTAAATGTTTTCTTACATCATTCGCCATGAAACGCATAGAGATAATCTTATAATTGTATCTGCATAACTCAGTTATGTAAATACTTATTTCCAGTCTAAAAAAATGTGCCTGACCATGTAGAAACATGGTGTTGGGGTCTTACTCGAATGCCAAGTCATCACCCGTGAGGCTAAGATAGTGATCGGTTAAAAATCGATGACACTGGGGTGGCGTCGTCACTGGGTAGAAGGAAGGCTTCGAAACACCGGGCTTTACGGAGTAGAGCAGAACATCGCTGATAGTACGAAGATGATTCTACTTGCAGTGAAAGTCTTGTATATTCTATAATAGAGCTGATGTCAAAAATATTGGCATTATATTATGCCAATGATTGTCAGTTTATTCTTTTTGTTGAGCATTGTTGATGCGCACATTTATCCACCTCCTTTTTACCATGAAAAAGAGAAGAAAAAGAAAATCATGGAAAAGAGAAAGATTTATGTTCAGAGAAAGTCATTTTTATTTTTCCTTTATAACAATCGGCAACTCTGCCACATAGTACTTCTCAGTCCCAAGGGTCCAACCAGTCCGTAGTCTGGATTCCCGTGCAGGGCTCCACTTGTTGAATCCTCTCGAAAGAGGAAACTTCATCACAAGACGACTTAGAACCCTAAGCCAGAATCATGAGGCAGGTAGTTCACCGCATCTACGGAGTATACTGCGTTGGTCGCTTGAACCACTATCATTTTATAGGCGCCCAGTGATCTGGCAGTCATGATGCTGTAGGGAGGACCAACCGGGAAAAAGGGAAAAAAAAATATCGGATGGCTGGTCATGCAATGCCCATGCCCATATATGGTCCATTGACTGTCTCCCAACGGCCTCGAACGTGTGCCACGTCAGAATGTTCGATATGACTCTTATCCTGACTCTTGACCTGTACGCCTATATGTACCTCTTGTATACCTGTCTTCAAAGTGAATAGACTTTGCTGTTCCTGCAGTCTTTCCATGGTTTGTTGGGTTTTTTCCATTCGACAGGTCAACTTTTCTACTTGACAGGACTTCTTGCGCTTCTTAAGGATCGGGTTGCCCCTCCTAAGAATATCTCCAGTTAAGCATTGAGTTCATTAGTACTATCGATCTATACTGTCGCATTGTCTTTATTGAAATCTTCAATTCGATTCCGTCCGCGTGAAAGTGGATCTGGTGGTGAGTTTAGTCGAGTTTAATTTTGGCGCGGCAGCAGGCTCAACAGCAAGCAATTTGATCCTATGTAGGCTTTGCGGAAGCTGTCTTTCATGTTCTAGTCCACCATGCCGTATATGTACTAATTGCTGAACGAACGCAGTTTAGTGAAGGGTGGAGTCTAGTTTAATTGGAACGCCGCCGACCCTCTTGTGAACCGCCCATTCTGTTGCTTCCTTCTCCCCCTTTTGCTCTAAGGGCTACAAACTTAGCCTTGCTTCTTGCGTGTGCCCTTGCGACAAGATCGACCGTCCGCGATCATTAGGTATTATTACAATACGTCTCCTAGGCTTCCGGACCGTGCGGTCCCATAACCTGGTTCTGTGCTGCTCACTGTTGAGCGCCTAAGGCAAGGAAGAATAATAGCACCATCCTGGACTTGGAAACCACCATCTTCGACCCTTCACTTTCTTCCATTCTAGGCTAATCTTCGCTCCCGGCCTTTTTTTCTTTTCTTCTTCTTCTTCTTCTTCTTCTTCTTCTTCTTCTTCTTCTTCTTCTTCTTCTTCTTCTTCTTCTTGTGTTTCTAGCTGTGCCTTACAGGACTGAGTCACTCGTTAGCTTCAGTTCGTGAACTCTGTCGACTTTTCTCTCGCCACTTTTTTTTTACATTTCTTTTTCTTTCGGACTCGGGTTCTTTCGCTCCTTTTCGCAGCTTGACGCGCTTATTGTGATTCCCGACCAGTGGTCGAAGCTCTTCGCACTCCCCCACCCCCGAATAGTTTCTGTTGTCTGGAACTGAGAATATAGAGTCGCCAGATAGCAGCAACATGAGAGAGTCTGCCGACTAAATTATTGGCCCGAACCGAACATCCGATTTGCTATTTGACTTGAGTGTCATTCATCCGTCTATGCTTCGTCTTCGACATAATTAATCACTAGCAACTACTGAGATCAGCGAACTTTTGAACGGCACCTTGATAGTCGCAGGCCGGCATGGCAACCTGCATATCTCTCAAGGGCTCGACGCAATGTCCCGCCTGGAATGGCTCATCGATATCAACCAGCTCTAATCTCTACACTGACTTGTACGTCTCGCTGGGACCTCGATCCTACAAAGTCACAGGTTACTTTACTGACATTCCAATAGCCCATTCATGCAGAACGTTACAAGCGTAAAACAATTTGACCAAGAGTTGAGTGGTTACGTTAAAGGATCTTACGTTACCCAAAAGTAGGCATTCGCTACCCGTAATTCCTACTATGTACCTCACCTAATCTGATCTGGCTACCAGATATGTCGAGTACCTGGGCTGCCAAGGGGCCAATCTTACAGATACTGATGATTTTTATGCGCGCTATACCGCTAGCAGCATATGCAGTGGGCTCGTTCAAAGTTCAAAAAAGGATTGCGACCTATCGGATGATGATTCCAGGCCTCTCTGTGCTGATACCTGTGTTAGTACCTCCTACTTGGCTAGTAAGGATTTATCTAATCATTTAGAATAGGCATTGATGGCTACAAGCGAAGCAACTATCTTGCTTAATCCTGATCTTTGCCCCAAAAGAGCCGGTAATTATATGAGCCAAGTCCGCTCTGACTTTACCGTGTGTGCTCTTCCCGCCGACTCACTAACCGTGACCTGCATATCGGGAGCTGACAACGAGTCCGACGAATGTGGATATGGTTCGAATCTGGTCGGCTTGTGTGGATTTTGTGGGGCAAGCTCACCAAACTCCACTGATTCCTGCTGCATAAATTCGAACGCTGCGACTCGATGTAAAGATGTGACTATTCCCACGCCGTCAACGACAATCCCGCCGATTTTCACTTCAACATCTAGTCCGACTGCAGGAGCCTCATCTGGGCATCTCTCCGGAGGCCAAATTGCGGGAGCTGTGATTGGGGCCGTAGCTGGAGTTGCTCTTTTGGCGGCATTAGCTGCACTGGCGTTGATATGCTGGAGACGAAAACGAAGGGCTCGGAATGACAATGTTTTGAACCAGCCAAACCCTCAGAGGAAGGGCTTCTCACCAATGCAACCTAGCCCCAACCAGCAAGGCTTCGCACCGATTCCAGGAGGGAGAGTAGCTAGGATGTCTGCCCTGCGTGAGGCCCCAAGCTATTCACCCGGGCGCTCTCGTAATTCTGCTGCTATTTTTGGTGGTGGAAAATATAGCGAATCCTCTGATTCAGACTACTACGGCGCGAGCCCCGGGGCTATGTCTAAGAAGATCCCCCCGACTGCAGGGAAGCGTACTGCCTCACTGTCTAGCAATTCGGCCCTGGCTGGTGCAGGTAGTGATGGGTCACCTCGCTCCGGCATAGGTGGTCAATACTCATCACCCGATGGGATGGCCAGTGGCCAGTCGGAGCAACTATCTTCATTCCATGATTATTACTCCCAAGATGACATTCGCCCAGGAGACAAGGTTGCCGTGCTTTGGGCGTATCAGCCACGAGCGGGCGATGAATTCTCCCTGGACCGAGGGGAGATGTTGAAGGTAGTTGGAATTTGGGATGATGGTTGGGCGACAGGAATCCGGGTCCCAGAGAGTGCGGAGGATTATGATGCTAGACATAGAGAACAGCGCGACAGCGGTGTATCAAATGGCTCACACAGGCCGATTGCATCTCCTTCCCCAACTGGGGAAATCAAAGCATTCCCCTTGGTCTGTGTGTGCCTCCCCCAGCACTGGAGAAAGATCATCGATGGAGGACAAGCAGATGATAACCTATGATAACCAGCAGCCCTTTCGTTCATGAGCCAAAAAGTATGAGGGTTTGAAGTTCTAATGCCGGTTTATGCTCTTACGATAGCACCTTTGTCAGTTTCTGTCCACAACATTCGCCGCCGCTGTGTGTTGGATGTCGTGGCTTCATAGCGGTTAGCGCCAGGGGGGACCGTCCTCGCTACCATCAGGCCATACTTTCCAAAGGTCTTGATCCTTTTCACTTTCCTTCTGCTCGGTTGCGGGCTAATGCATCGGGATGCTTCCGCAACGACTTGATATGCTTCTTGTCCATTCGTTCATATACCCCTTTACGACAATGTTATTTACTCTTCCGTTCTTAAGCTACTATTTCATCATTCTCCTTCTACTCGGCTGTCCTCTGTCACAGGGCAAGGTGCAGTGTGCTAACTCTGATCGGTTCAACCTGTGAACGATCATCGTCAGCGTCAGAGCCAGTCATACTCAGCGCCCAGTATGACAGTGGGGTGCTTATCATAATCGGAGTCTTACAGTACATACTATTTGATGTATCCTTTCACATATGCTAGGTTCTAGAGTATGACTAGAAATTTAATTTCACCCCTTGTGTTTGGAGCTGACTATCACTTTGACACCCTTGAGATAGCATTGGGAATATACCAAGAACGTCGTAACTAGTTTGGAGCGTATAATCGAATGTCACGAATGCAAATATTGGTAGGGGGTATTTTGTGCCAGTACAGAGTATGCATGTTTGCAATCCCGCATAATATCCTGCATACTTAAATGATCCAATCATATTTTAGGGCCTTTAATGAGAAGTCGGTTACTTGGACTGAAGTTCCATGGTTGATCTTATATGGGACTTAGTCACGCAGTTCCGGAAAACAAAAATACAGTGTTGGAGGTGGAAATAAAAATAGTTGTGCCCAGTGTCTACTCCGTACAGATCCCTACAATCCGTTAAAATGAGTTCCCCACACTAGCAACGGCAAACGTGTCCAGGAATAGGCAGCTCCTTACAGTACCCATTAATACTAGTCGGAGACGCAGGTGACGGATGAACCTGCAGCAGGCTGCAATGTTAAGTACAGTACTAGTTTGTATGCTTCACACTCTAACTACTCACTCGTATTTACTACCGGAACATTCAGGGGAAATGGATTATGACGAAAACACGGCCTGGTGGTGCGACGGCGATATCACGTGATAATAATCCCCCCCACCGGCGGCGCAACACCGCAAAGCACAACAACTAAATGCCCCTCTATCTCCATCCCCCATTATTATTCCTCTCCCACCCCCTCACATAATTCATTTCAGTTAGCTTCTTTCACCCCCAAATTTCTGTGGGAATCTTTTGAGAATAATCTCCCTCTTCTCTGGTCAGTAAATCAAACTGAACGGGCTTCTTGGATGCAATAGGCATTGTTCTTCCTTGACGGGGAATTACTGCTAAAATCAGGGGAAACCAGCTACTGATATCGCGTGCCGGCGTAGGTTATCAACTTCGGTGTTCCTTCATTTCCATACCCACATAGCAATCATGTCGGTACGTATTCCACCCGACGTCTTGATGGACTAGGCTCATACTGATATGATATTCGCTTGGGTCCCGTAGCTCGCATCTGGGTATGTCGACGATCATGTCCTACACCTTTCTCCAAAGATCAGATTCATGCCGGAGCCCCGAATCGACACTAACGACGCCTATTACTTAGAGTTACCGTTACCGATGACTGCGTCAACAAGTTCAACGAATTCCGCATGACCGGCGGCAGCAAGGGCGAAAAGCCTAAGTTCATCATCTTCAAGATCGCCGACGATAAGAAGTCGGTCGTCGTTGATGAAATTTCCTCTGACCAAGACTATGAAGTCTTCCGCAACAAGCTTGCAGCTGCTAAGGACAGCAAAGGCAACCCTGCCCCCCGTTACGCAGTCTACGATGTTGAGTACGAGCTCGGTGCCAACGAAGGCAAGAGGTATGGTGCTGCTGAAGCCGCCGTTTGAGTTGATTGGCAGCTTACGAACTTTTTTTACTGTGCAGGAGCAAGATAATCTTCATTTCCTGGGTTCCCAGTGAAACCCCAACTCTCGTAAGTTTCTTTGCGCTCTATCTTTGTCTTGCTGGCTGTTGCTGATGATGCATGCAATAGTGGTCTATGATCTACGCCAGCACCCGGGAGGTTCTGAAGAACGCCCTTAACATCCACACCTCCATCCACGCCGACGACAAAGGTGACATTGAATGGAAGGCTGTTCTGGCTGAAGCCAGCGGCGGAAAGGCTGGTAAATAAGTAACGGCGCCGGCTGGGCCAGGGCCAGGTGAGCTTGTGTGTGCTGGTTATTACACTGCGCCGCTCCGTTTCCAGTTCGCGGAGTGTCTCGGAACGAACCAATTCAATGACATTCTCCTGCACAAATTCTAGTTCAATATGAGATCGTTACGACTTGTCTGCTTCCATAGTGATCGTATATTCGTCTTCTGCGATCGTGGCACTCTCCGTGACCGAGCGTTTGGGAGGGGTTTTCTTTTTTTTGTCAGCGTTTATGCCTGTACAGAATATTGCTACCTGGTAGGCGGTGTGGTTTCACAGGATCAGTGTAGAGTAGAATACACGACTTCACCGTTTAAACATATCCCATCATGTTGGTCCCTACGTAAGTCTGATTGTCGTGCTATGATCCCGAGAGCGCCCGTCAGGTGACCAGTATAGCTTCGTTGTGCCTAGGCTTGAAAAGTATCGTAAGGGAAAACCAACAAAAAAATTGTCGATGTGGAAAATTCGACATATTGACCGTTGGGACTTGCCAAGCTTTATTGCTCAATCAAGAAGCCGACCAAAATCCAAAAATACCCTTAGATCGGATTTTGATGTTGGATAAGGATGGAACGTATCAGGTGTTTTGGGTGAAGGAAGTCGAAGTCGGGACAGATTGGGACGTGGACCAATGAGGGCGCAGGCAAAACGGACTAACCTAACCGGCCGGATACTCGACTTTCCACCTCAAACCACAGTCGAACGACGTCTTCGTTTCCCATCGCGAAGTCTCGATCACCTCCTCCACTCCCATTCCACCTTAATTCATCCTCAATCCCGAGGCATTACATCTCTCGCTCAAAGAGTGTGTATTTGATTTTTAATTGGTCTCCTTTTTGTCGCGCGCACGACCTCCCACACAATGTTCCTTCAGTCCGTTTCTCGGGCTGCTGCTCGCAGCTCGGCCATGCCCACCACTGCCATTCGTTCCTACCGCACCGTCTCGGGCCCAATGGCTTGCCTGAATGCCCGTCCTCAGCCTGCGAAGAACTCTATCGCTCCCCAGCAGACCCGCGCCTCATCCGAGCACGCCATCTCGAATCCCACACTCGCCGGTATCGAGAAGCGCTGGGAGGCCATGCCCCCTCAGGAGCAGGCCGATTTGTGGATGCAGCTCAGGGACCGTATGAAGGTTGACTGGCACCAGATGACCCTTCAGGAGAAGAAGGCCGGTATGCTTTTTCTATCTACACAATCCCCACTACTCCCGATCGATCAGAATTTTGCTGATGGACATCACCCCCCGCATTTTAGCTTACTGGATTGCCTTTGGTCCTCATGGCCCTCGCGCGCAGGCCCCTAAGGGCGAGGGTCTCAGAATCGCCGTTAAGGTCGCCCAGCTCACTGCTGTCTCCGTCGCCGTGTTCTACGTCATTCACTTGTTCGCTAAGCCCCAGCCTAAGACCATGTCCAAGGAGTGGCAGGAGGCTTCCAACGAGTATGCCAAGGTACGTTGATCTTGCTCTCTCACTTGAGCCTGCCATTGGGCAGTGTCTCTTGAAATCTATTAGATCAGACACTGACTACTTGTCATAACAGGCCGAGAAGATCAACCCTATCTACGGTGTCAGCGCCGAGGGTTACGAGGGCAAGGGCTTCGTCCAGAGCCCTCCTGCTGAGAAGTCATAGATTGTGGACCAGTGATGCGGGAGGAACAGGTATAGCAATTGGACAAGCTGGATAGGATCTGCTATGGGTTCAAATGGTACCTATGGCGTCGTCCTTCCGTTTTCTGATACCGCCGGTTCTGTGCCCATCATCGTGTGCACTTCCCTTCGCCTCTGTCTTATCTGTTTTGCCCAATGTCAGCCCAAAAGACTTGTATCTCGTACTGTGCCATAATCAATGTATCTCCTTTGTAGCCATAGAGTCTGTTCCACTGCTGCGACTGGTAACTGACCTCTAGAGTTCATAATCTGTAGATTAGTACAAAGCGATAATCATTTCGCTTCATATTATCAATGTCCTTTCCTACTGAAGAGGTTTGATATCAGCCAAGTCGACTCCTGATGTTTACGTCGGAAATGTATCATGGAGGTCGGAAAAGTGCCGTTACATAGTAACGCTTCCGAACTTTACATTCATGCCCCATTACACCCCTTCGGCCGTCACTATTCCTAAGCTTATTTCTTGGCATAGCACCTGAAAATGTTGACCTATAGAAATATAAATATATATATATACTTGTCACTGTGAAGGTCTGTAGACCAGAATTGACTACCTAGATACCTTGATGATCCTGATGGAGAATCACGGGAACACGTCAGATTTTTTTCCAAGTTGGCGTTCGTCCGAAATAGGAGCTTAGATCTTTACGGTGTACCCGGACGGAGGTAATAGGAAAACCAAAATAATACGTCGAAAGTCGGGTCTATGCCCGTTAGGATATGTTTATTTCTTCACCGTATTGGTCTGAGCCGCATACGCTCGATTTAGACGGGAATGCTTTTGACTAGTCACGGTTCTACTGGATAGTATGCTGGACAAATGGCATTTTTGATGGGGTTCAATGCTCCCTTGTATCCGATGGTTGCCAAGAAGCTCCTCATTTTGTGTGTAAATTTCCATGACAACCGCCGGGAGACTTCTCCATGCAGTGTTGGACGGGGAGGGCCACAAGAAAGAAAATTATCTGTCAGATGAAAACGTAGCAGTTATGTATTCGGTTGAAAAGGTGTAAAAGGGAATTACACTGCCTAGCAACCATGAAGCTGATGCAGCTCTGTCCATGTTTTCTGCGCGTTGCTCGGTACATCACGGGATCGTCGGCAAAACCGCCCCGGAAAGGCTAAGACCGGACACAGTCGCCCGTGTCCACCTCAACCTCAACCTCTTCCCTTCCCTTCCCTCTTTCTTCCCTCTCCCCATCTTCTCGTCCCTTTGACCTCATTTATCCCCGTTTCGCTCTTAAACACCATCATAATGTTCAAGAGGTGTGTTGCTCCGCCCACTCTGACCTCGTCGCCCCATGACCCTTTTTTTTCCGCTTGCTAACAGCTATTTTTTCCCTTTTACAGCGGTCTTGCCCGGACCTTCGGGAGGGCTGCTTTTGCCCGGCCTACCCCGGTCGCCCGTCGCGTTCCTTCCAAGATCAATGCCTTCCCTTCCCTTGCCAGGTTGGCCAGCACTGAGGCCGGCGCTAGCGGCAAGATTCACCAGGTCATTGGTGCCGTCGTTGACGGTATGTTTCCGGCTCCCGACGAAAACCCTGTTACCCGGCTACGCGAAAATCTTTTCCTGGCCGCAATTCCATCATAAAATCATCAACAACGACTCCATATGTGGCTGAAAACACGATATCTGACTTTCGATTACAGTGAAGTTCGAGGGTGAGAAGCTCCCTGCCATTCTCAACGCCATTGAGACCGAGAACAATGGCCAGAAGCTCGTGCTCGAGGTTTCTGTAGGTACCCCCAGAGCTTGAATGACATCAAGTCAACATAGCTAACCAAAAACAGCAACACTTGGGTGAGAACGTCGTCCGTACTATTGCTATGGAGGGTAAGTCACACCGTTCTATTGTTTAAGTATCGCCATGGGCATATCATAAGTGCTCGCCCTGGCTTGACCGCTCCCATATACGTGGCTAGGGTCACCCGAACTTTGGGTTGACATATCACTCTTTCAGGTACCGAGGGTTTGACTCGTGGTGCCGCTGCTCGCGACACTGGTGCTCCCATCACCATCCCTGTCGGTCCCGGCACCCTGGGCCGTATCCTCAACGTCACCGGTGACCCCGTCGACGAGCGTGGTCCCGTCAAGGCCACCAAGTACGCCCCTATTCACGCCGAGGCCCCTGAGTTCGTTGAGCAGTCCACTGAGGGTGAGATTCTTGTCACTGGTATCAAGGTCGTCGACCTGCTTGCCCCCTACGCCCGTGGTGGTAAGATTGGTCTCTTCGGTGGTGCCGGTGTCGGTAAGACCGTCTTCATTCAGGAGTTGATTGTATGTTCACCTGCAACCAAAGATTTACCTTTTTCCACTCTTTTCTAACCCTTCATAGAACAACATTGCCAAGGCTCACGGTGGTTACTCCGTCTTCACTGGTGTCGGTGAGCGTACCCGTGAGGGTAACGATCTGTACCACGAAATGCAGGAGACTGGTGTCATTCAGCTCGACGGTGAATCCAAGGTCGCCCTTGTGTTCGGTCAGATGAACGAGCCCCCAGGTGCCCGTGCCCGTGTCGCCCTTACCGGTCTGACCATTGCCGAGTACTTCCGTGACGAGGAGGGTCAGGATGTGCTGCTCTTCATTGACAACATTTTCCGTTTCACCCAGGCCGGTTCTGAGGTGTCTGCCCTTCTTGGTCGTATCCCCTCTGCTGTCGGTTACCAGCCCACTCTGGCCGTCGACATGGGTGGTATGCAGGAGCGTATTACCACCACCACCAAGGGTTCCATTACCTCCGTCCAGGCCGTCTACGTCCCTGCTGACGATTTGACTGACCCTGCCCCCGCCACCACTTTCGCTCACTTGGACGCCACCACTGTCTTGTCCCGTGGTATTTCCGAGTTGGGTATCTACCCTGCTGTCGACCCTCTTGACTCCAAGTCTCGTATGCTCGACCCCCGTATCGTCGGTCAGGAACACTACGACACCGCCACCCGTGTCCAGCAGATGCTCCAGGAGTACAAGTCCCTCCAGGATATCATTGCCATTCTGGGTATGGACGAACTTTCTGAGGCTGACAAGCTCACTGTCGAGCGTGCCCGTAAGCTTCAGCGTTTCCTGAGCCAGCCTTTCACCGTCGCCCAGGTTTTCACTGGTATCGAGGGTAAGCTGGTTGACCTTAAGGACACCATCCGCTCCTTCAAGGCCATCATCAACGGAGAGGCTGATGACCTTCCTGAGGGTAAGTTTCCCCTGACTAATACTTGTCTTTGAACTGTATGCTAACGATGTCTCAGCTGCTTTCTACATGGTTGGTGACCTCGAGTCCGCCCGTGCCAAGGGTGAGAAGCTCCTGGCCGAGCTCGAGAACAAGGCCTAAATGTAATATTGTTTTTAAGCGCCCTTTTCTTTTTTGTTAGACATGGACTTCCTTTCTTCAGTTATCCGTTTTCTGTCGATACGTGTACAGTACTCGAATTAAGAAAAGGGAGTTGAACGAAAGGCTTATCCTCCCTGTTCAGAAGAAAAAAGGAAGGGAGCACTATTACACCTACCTTAAAGTCCGGATGTACCTTCCGGACTTGTGTTACACTACGTGCTCATGTAAGTAAGTTAAAACGACCACATTCAGCCTGATACCCTCGGGGCTGGGACAATTGTATTCATTTCTTTTGTTGCACCAACTCTCTCTTTCCCTTCGTAGGCAGTGTAGATCAATAATGTCGTACTCGTTCCTATATTGTTTGTAATTGACCACCATACGGAATGCCTTGCTTGCATATCATTATTATCCCTTGGAATTCGGCCTTTATCTTGGTATTGAGTGCACTTGGAGATACATAGTGACTTCAAGTCTACGAATACAATGCGTCAGCCTCCCCTAGTTAGAACTACGCACCCTTCCCCTACTGTAATTCCACTTGAATTTCAAGTAATATGGCTCTAGATAGGATAATAGGCATGTACAATGGGTCATTTCTGGCCATGGAGTTATACATAATGCTACGTGATATAAAAAACTCACCCCCAAAAGTATATTCTTTTCAGACTATTAGACACTTTGGAGTACTCTCCTGGAGCGCATCACTTTTTTATCTAGTATAAACCAATGGGGTTTACACGGCAATACTGAGTACTTCTCTCTCTTCTACATATATATTTCCTAGAACGACTAATGGCCTGAAGCCCAGCAATCTTCATTAGCAAGACAAGATTCGCCAAACACATTTCGTCACCATCACCACCACTTCTTTCTACATTTTAGAATATATTTCCTTAAAAAAGACAACCCCGAGAACTATATATAGTTTTATGAGATACGTGCAATTTTCAAGGGCAGGGAATGCTACATAATGCCCTCATTTTCTCCAGAGAATGGGGAAACGTACACGCGGCTGATGCTGTGTTACCTTGCATTCAGACCCAATGAAGCATGGCACTGGATTAATGTTAAGTTTGACTTCTTTGGGAATGGGGGTTTCCTTTCCCTTTAGCAGGAGTTGCCATGTTTGTCCTGGGGTGCTCTTTTTATCCATGCATATGGAACTGGTGGTCGTATATTCGGCCTGTGGACTGATTGTTATTATTTTTTGGGGGATTGGTACTGTGGTCTCCTTTCTGAGCTTGTTGTGATTTATTTATTCTTCGTCGTGGAGGATGGCTGTGGTGAGTGGTTACTGTGCTTTTGTAAGTTTTATGTAGAGTGATATGATAATAGTACTGTGCCTAGGGAATTGAAAGGGTGTTTTTGTGCTGTTCGCTTGGTTATGAATGATTTCGGACTTATAGTGCTGGATGGTGGGTTACTGTCATGTGGTTCTGAGATGTTGAAGGGTGTGGTCTAGAAGCTTTGGCTTGATGGTCGGTATGTCATTGTTGGTGGAGTCTTATACATTGAAGTTAGGCTGCTCGACTCTCAATAGATCGACGCTTGTTGCTTTGTGAGTAAATAGAGTAAATTAGACTCGAGAGTTGATATTGAATGGGAAGAGGACACTGGAGCTGCTGGAACAGGAAGGTCTAGGATGTGTGGTGGTGATCAAAGGGTTATTGCTGGGTTGTCTCTAAATGATTTTCTAACTGGGCGAAGACTGATGCCTTCATGATGACTCTATAGTGATTGAGATCTAAAAACAGTAAAGTAAATTGTAGTTAAGAATTATAAAGTCGAGAACAAGATTAAGACACTTGATGTTGAGTATAGCTTAGCGCTGAGGGCGTGCTTGCAGAATGATACGAAGTATCTACAGCGTTTCTTCTAAGGCCAGGACCTGTTATGAGTTATTAGCATGCGCAGCTCTTTCTTTCTTTGGGGATTCTGGTGTCAGGTATAGGATGGATCTTACTAGTGCGGTCCTGGTGGGGATGTAGACTTGGAGGAAGTTGCTCCGGCCATTCCACGACATATCGGTGGTAAAGAACCGTGTCTCCTTAAGATTGCGGTTCAGACCACCGAATGCTGGATCATCAGTGTCGAGAACGATACGGTACGTGCCTGCTTGCTCGACGCCCACACGGTAGTCGGTGAAGCTGTTGGTTGGGTGGAAGTTGAAAATCCAAAGAAGACCTGCCCTCTCAAAGACGAGGACCTTGTCGGCTTCGTTTTTCAGGCTGATATATGCCTGTGGCGAATGGAGCCATCCGTATTTTTCTTCCGTCAATTGCATCCCACGGTCGAATTCATTAAGGAATTTATACCGTAGTAGGTGGTCTTCGGTCAGATTTAGCTGGCGTCGTGCGTACCAGAAGGAATTCTTGTTCCCTTCTCGGGGGAAGTCGAGCCATTCCGGGTGTCCGAACTCGTTGCCTTCAAAGTTGAGGTAGCCTTCACCTCCGAGACCATGCGTGACTAGTCGGATCATTTTGTGCAAGGCCATGCCTCGTTCGATGATGGGAGTGAACTCTGTCAGCACGGACATGTGTGTGTACATTTCTTTATCGCATAGCCACATCATGAGGGTTTTATCGCCAACAAGCCTTATTATGGAGTTAGCAACAATAATCTTATAGTATATACAGTGGATTTGTAAACTTACGCTTGATCGTGGCTTTCTGCGTAGGCAATTGTCTTCTCGCCATGGCGTCTGTTTGTCAAAGTGAAGGATAGGTTTCCTATGTCCCACTCGTCGTCCCCCTTCTCTTTCAAGAGCTTGATATACATGTCTGGGACAGCCATGGCGAGGCGGTAGTCAAAGCCGACTCCACCGAGGGAGTGTGGTAGACAGAGGGCCGGCATCCCAGAGACGTCTTCCGCTACTGTGATACAGTCGGGATAGAGGTTATGGAGCATTTCGTTAGCAAGAGTCAGATACATCACACCTTCTTCATCGACAGAAGAACCAAAATACTCATGGTAACCCCCAGAAAAACCTCTGTGTCTTCTGATTAGACGAATAATAGCACTGAAAAGGTTGGCTACTTACGTTCCAATTCCGTGATGGGTGTAAAGCATACTTGTGACACCATCAAAGCGGAAACCATCAAAACCATACTCCTCCATCCAAAAGCGCAAGTTGCTCAGAAGGAAGCGCAGAACCTCATGATTGCCGTAGTTGAACAATCGGCTGTCCCACAACTCATGTCGACCCTTCCCACCACCGTGGAAGTATAGGTGGTCTGTGCCGTCGAACATGTTCAATCCATCGAGAACGTTCTTCGATGCATGGCTGTGGATGACATCGAGGAGCACCACTAGACCCATGCTGTGGGCTTTGTCGACGAGCTCCTTTAGGTCTTCAGGTGTACCATAGCGGCTGCTCGCTGCGAAGAAGTTATTGACTTGGTATCCGAAGCTGGCGTAGTAAGCGTGCTCCATGATGGCCATAAGCTGAATTGCATTGTACCCTAGATATTTGATCCGAGGGAGCATATTGGAAGTGAACTCTTTGTAGGTTGCGACTTTAGTTTCTGGTGATGAAATCCCCACATGTGCTTCATAAATCCGGAGACTTTCAGGCCTCTTAGGACGGGGATGCTGGAACTTATATTGTTTTTCGGCTGGAGGGTTCCAGAAGACGGACTCGTATGTAGGTGACACATTGAGGTCTTGCACCACACGCTTGATCCACGCTGGGATCCGATAGATTCGGTCTCCACTGGGGGTGACCATTGATATCTGGACAAGCGTAAGTGATACGGAACGTATCGACAACCGTCAGCCTGAACAATGGGATCGATACCTTGATCTTGCTGTCATGGGGAATAGCTGGAGCGCCGCTAACTGCTGGCACCGTAACCTCCCAGACGCCGAAGTCATTCTTTGTCATTGGGTGGGCCGTCACGTCCCAATTGTCTGCTAGTTTCAGTATTTCTTCCTCAGGTAGCTTTCTCCATGCAGTCAGACATACTGAATTCTCCGACCAACTGCGCTTGCACAGCATTTGGAGCCCATTCTCTGTACACAATGTCACCGTTGGATTGAACGTTGAGGCCAAACCTCTCGTAACCCTAAAGAGTGGGCGAAGTCATAATTAGCAGGGACAAACTTCAGGGTCAATTGGAGCCCCGCCCAAACCAAGGAAACCATAAGAGCAATCAATTGACTCTCACCTTGCTAAACGTTTCAAGACCTCCTTCTGTCTCATTGATGGCTTTCACCCAGCCTTCAACGAAACTGAACCTTTGCTTCAAAGCATCTCGAAAAGGCTCCAGCCAAGGGTCCAGCTTTATGACACCTGAATTAATTCAGCGTAAGGTGGAGTTGCACAATGCGTCGTTTGAAGTGACTAACCTGTGCCGTCCGGCGGGGAGCTGTCCGCAGCTTGGGAGGAACCCATTCCGGCAGCTGGCAGGAACTGACTGATAAGGCTCAATCAGGTACAAAACCTTGTTACTGGGGACCGACGAGGCAAATCGAGACAGTTTTACAACTGATACTACCACCAGTAATTGCAAGAACAAAAAGTAGGCAATGGTTGGGAAGCAAGCAGAGGAGCAGAGGAGAAGGAAACCTGGTTTCCTGCTGCGGGGGTTGCTTGCGGAGAGGCCAAAGCTCCCGTGTTCTCCCCATGTGACATCACCCTACCCTTGTCTTTGTTTGCTTATCGTTTGTTCCTCGTACGTATATTTCGTAATACTAGACACCTCCCTTCAATTGTTTTGTCAATTTTAAGCAATGCCTTACTCGACTAAGAAATACATGAGGATTATCGTGTATCTGGAATCTATCCCCAAGGTTGTAAGTCATCAATATGTTAAGTCTACTCATACCAAGATAAGACAATGATAACTGACTCTATCCTGACAAATATATTCTCTAAGTAAAACAAGTTGAGAATTAAATACTTCTACATGCATGCGTCATGTCTAGTGATGGCCATGGCGCCGATGATGATGATGGCCAGCACGAGGAGGGCCTGTGGGTGCTGGCTTGTCATTTCCAAACGGGCAACCACCAACCTCACCGGCAGATTGTTTAGAGGAATGCTGCTTCGATTGCTGGGACGGCTGCTCACTGGCCACAGTAGGAGCTGGTGCGCTAGTGGACGCCTGCTGCTCGGCCGTGGTGGAGGTCGCCTCAGCAACCGTTGTTGGCTTAGAGGACGCCACAACCGCTCGGACCTTCGCTGTCGAGCCTTTGTTGACCATCAAAGCACTATACGGAGTCGCTCCAGGGTAGAAGGAGGTGGGAATGGTCGGGATTGGAATGGAGGCTGTAATACCGAAGTCCGTTTTGAGATCGGCAGCCATTGTTGCCGCCGAATAGCCAGATGGGGCGCTGGAGACTGTGGTCGTGGTCGCTTCATAAGCAACATGACTAGAGCCTGATTTAAGACAAAATCCAGTGCCATAAGCGTTGCGGCAAGAGTACCATTGCCGCTGCCTGGAACTGTCCTCAGTCCACATGGCAAAGTCCTCAATGGTGATATCATAGCAAGGGGCACCGTCTGGGCAAACAATCTTGATAGGGCCTCTTGCAGCGCCATTCTCCTCAGTACCTTTCCAGTTTCTGAGAGTGATGTTGCTCAGTTCGACACCATTTCCGTCCTGAGAGCTCATGCTGGCCCAGTAACTGTCAATATCGAACGAGTAGGCGTTTCCGTGGCCTGACGAATGCAAGATGCAAGGTTAGCATTGTCAAGGGATTCCACTAACTGACTTATAAGGATGCTTGTGCTTACCGATGAAGTTCTCAAACAGCAGATTAGTCGCGGAGCCACTACCACCATTGCTCTTAATGAACATCATGTTGTTGGAATTCCAGGTATAGATGTTCCGGTAAGTGATATCACTGATATCGGTATCCTTTCCAAGAGAGCCCATACCGCATCCACCACTCCAATTGCAGTAGATATTCTCAACCAAGATGTTCTTAGAAGGACTCTACAGATGTGTGTTAGACAGTCCTTGGGATAAAAGGAGGGCTGTGTTGGAAACATACCTTGACTGTGACACATTCATCCTTGTTCGTTACCTCGATCTATTGATACGTAAGCTACTGAGGGACGTGAGGCTCAAATATCGGCAATTTACTACTCACGTCATGAATCCAGACGTTCGTTGACCAAACATCAACACCATCCAAGCCACCGTGGTTACCACCACGAATTGCCATGTTATATACTTCGCCGTTGGTGCAAGTATCCAGGGAAAAGTGGAAAGCAGGGGCATCGACAAGGATAAAGTCATGAACCGAGAAATCTGTAACATCATAGAGCCGCAAGAGGCGAGGCCCACTCCATTTGTTATCCTTGTGGTATTCATAGCCCAAGCCCTGCATGGCACCCGACGATGTGCTACTGAAGAGCTCAAAATCGCTGGAATGTTCAATAAAGATCATGTTTCCACCATCCGTGCCGCTACGGTAGATGGTTCCATCAATCTGCAGTGCCCATGCCTTGCCACCACTCAGTCTGGCCCAGGTTGACAGTGCATAATCTCCCGATGGCACATATACCAAACCGCCAGATTTGCAGTCGGCGAACGCAGATGCCAGAGGAGGCCCAAGATCGGTGGTCTTATCAGCTTTGGCCCCATAATCGAGAACATTGCAAGTCTTCGTGGCGGCTTTAGTCGAAGCCGGTGTTAATGGTCCCACAGATCCAGAAAGGCTGGCCACCGCAAGGGTAGGTACCAGACTCACGAGGGAAAACAACGACAGTGTATTGATCCGCATTTTGCTGAGCGGGATTTGGAGAAAAGAAAGTGAGCGTGAGGATAGAGCAAGAAGGGTTGTAACGCACGAGCGAGAAGTGCTATTAAGTAGAGCTAGACCCGGGATATCAACCTGAAACAATTTCCCTCAGACATGGAGCCAGCATCTAGTAGCCCTAGTTTCAAACAACCGCTGGCTACCATCTCTGCACCCCCAGGGCTGAGCGATAATCTGTCAAGTCGGCCTAGACATCTGGAGCCAGACATCGGGTTGAATCAATTAAATTAGTGGGTGCGCCAGGAGCTATGATGCATGCCAATCTCTAATAAGAGAACCATGGCGTGCTTCGGACGACTGAATCAAGCGCGAGCATTAAATCCGTCCCGTGTTTCGCATCATATTTCGACCGTCGGCCCAGATCTGCAATTAGGTTCAACGAGATGTCTACAGAGCTCGATAGGTCTGTTCAGTCCTCAACGCACACAAAATTTCATTCTTCATGGAACTTTTGATGCTTCCATCGGTTGGGGCGGAATGGCCCTCCAAAGAAGTGGACCCGAACGAAAGATGAAACGCTCTAAAAACTACCGTTTCCGGAGAATAACCGACACCGAAAGGAAGAGCCCTATACAGCAAAATTAGGAGACAAGCAACTCCAACTGAAGTTAAAGGGGCGAGAATAAATTATAGTTTGGAGTAAAATTAATCAACTCTCTGACTAGGGCAGATCTAGTCAAGGGCCGTCGAGATCTGCTACGAACCGGATCAGTTGACCTTCTATGCCTAGTCTGGTCTGAGATATATTCACATTAAGTGTTTAAATGTTCCAGGCAGGCATTAATGTCTACCTATGTCCGGATTCGGCCCCGTGCAATGTTTTGAGGATGTCCGAGTCACCTGTTGCTGTTTCTCCTCGGGCTACAGTCTGGGTATATCCCGTTCCAGCTAAGGCCATGTCTAAATTAAGACCGTCCAAAAAGGGGCAGAATAATAGTATGCATCTGAATTAAATTTGTATTATCGGAAAGCCCCCAATATGTGTAATGAAACAAACATCTATCTGGACTCAATCATAGAGCAAATCGATAACAAACATTTGGTATCCTCACGCTAGTCATTGTCGGCATGCCGACTGTACAGGGCTCCCAAGAAACCTAGCCTAGTATGGCACTGTGAACCCATTCTGTCTGACTGGAAACTTTTATTGAAGTCAGTATGGATTCTTCATTCTATTCAACGCATGCAAAAGACTAACAGAACTCACAATTTACAGGTTGGCGCCAAGAGTAGCGACAACATTGCCAACGGCAGTGCCCAGAGCAGGCAGACTGAGACTAGTGAGAAGGCCTGCAACATTAGGGGAGAGCCTGATGAGGAGGAAAGAGCCATCCTGGGCAACAACTGTGAGGAGGTTCTTGGCGGGCTCGCCGACGTCCTTAATGAGGTCACCAGCGTTACCGGCGGTCTTGATGATCTGACCAGCAGAGTTACCGACTCTAGGGAGGCCAAGGCCGGCGAGGAGAGAGGCGACGGAGGGGCTGAGCTTGATGAGGATACGCTTGGAATCGGTACCGGTGACCTCGAGGACATCCTGCACCTCGGGGGCAACATCCTGAACGAGCTGGCCATCGGCGGAGCGCTTCAGGTTCTCACCAAGGGTAGCGACAGTGCTACCAATAGGAATCCCGACACCAGCGAGACCAACACCAGAGAGAAGGCCAGCGATGTCAGAAGACAGCTTGATCAAGAGAGCACTACCGTCCTTGCTGACGACGGTCAGGAGGCCGTCAACAGCTGAACCAAGGCCCTTGATCACGTCGCCGACCGAGGCAGCGGTCTTGACAACCTCACCGACAGGGACGCCAACACCGGGAAGGCCGAGGCCGGAAAGGAGACCAGCAACCTTGGGGCTAAGCTCAATGAGGAGCTTCTTCCCGTCAGTGCCAGTGACAGTGAGGACCTGGTTCACACCATGGCCAACATCCTGAACAATGTGACCACTGGCGTCCGAAGAGGGGACTGGAGATACTGAGGGAATAGCATTGGTGGTGGAGGTGGCCTCCTTGAGGATGCTGACATCAGAGTGGCTGCCAGCAGGAGCAGCCATGGCCGAGGAGGCCAGAGCAGCGATGACCGTGATAAGGGAAGTCTTCATTGTGATGAGATATGTGAAAGAAAATTAAAATGAATGGAAGGGTATATTGGTATAAGGTATAACCGGTAATGAATGACAGAAGTTGGAGAGTGAGAGAACGAATGAGTGTTGCGCTGATGATTGAGAAAGAAAGTCAAGAGAACTGGGGGTGTTAAAGCCTTTATACTACAGCTGCTCATGATCATCTCTTTGTTACCGTTCTTTTCAGAAAGCAGCTGGACAGCTTGATTAGCTAGCTGGGGGCAACCATTTGACTAAGAACATGTGTTACTGCCCAGGAGAGTAAAGCTACATCGCAAGCTTGATGGAGAAAAAAGAACCACTAGGCCGTGGGTACTGCATATGAAACAGGATACAGGCTCTCCAATGTACCCTCATGCCTTCACGTTCCCTGCTCTGCACACCATCATCGCTATGCTACGTATACTAACTACGAAAGTAAGCGCCGCAGTGATCTATGTGCAGTTCCCACAATGAAGTTCGAGCAACCTCTACAGTTTCAACAGTACACATTTCGAGAAGAGGCTCAAAGTTACCATCGGCGATTCTCTCCATAGGCGTTAGATACTGCAACAAGAGCGCAATCATTGCTTGTTCGGGGGAGCGCCGGATCCGCTGATCTACACGGCATAGACTTCAAGACATCATGGCTTCCAAGTCTTCCGAACATACTCCTTAGTTACCTGATACGTAGCTACTACGGTGATCTGCATCTTAATCTTACCAGGTACCAGGCACCAGGCACTCTTTAAATCACATGCGTAGCTAGAAATCGAATGGTGCGCTGATTTTGCTGTCCACTATTGGTGGGAGAAGCTGAAGAACGCGAGCTTGTCCGCCGCGATAAACTATATCTGAGGTCTAATTGCAATATATTCGGAGCTGACTTTCCTCTACCAAGGATATGTACAGTGTACAGGGTCAAGAAGATAAAAGGCAAACCGCACGTTGTACATGATCATCCGGGTAGCCGGTCTGCCCAGACCGATGGAGCCTAACCCTGACGATCTTCAATGGAGCCAAGGTAGTCATGTTGATTTGTCGTTCAGCCTTACTCTAACAGTACGGGAGTGCCGGATAAGCTATTGAAGCTTACAGTTGCAATTCTCTGCATATGCAACGGCTCTTGGACCACAAATGATCTATTGATTTACGAGCTGTTATACTTTGCACCGGCCGATTATGAGTTCGGCTGATAAACGAGATCTTGGACTTGGCGGTGATGGTAGTTCAAGCCATGTATAACATGTGCTCTATCACAGCACCCCTGGCCCCTCACAGTGGATGTGACGTCTAGGGCCCAATAGGGAACACTCCACTTCCTTTGAATGGCAATTAAACCCATAACCGCGCCTTAGGGCCGCTAAAGTGAATAATCAGAATACTCCGTATGAGTTAACAATTCCGCGGGCTCCACTCTGAGAGCCCCAGACACGGCCATAGCATAGAAAGGACTGAGAATGACCTTGCATACGGAGAACCTACTGAGAAGCTTTTCTTTTTGTCTCCTTCAAGACTCGTAATTTGTACGAAAGATTGTAATTCTGAGCATACAAATTCTCCAACACTTTAGCAGAAGAATAAGAAAGGGGCGCATAAGAAACACCATGCTAGCTAATATACGACGACATGCCTAGGAGGAACTACCTGATCACCTCATAATTTATCCAGTCCCACAGGGGAATTTCGCAGGAGAAATCCCCGAAATCCAGCATGAAAAATTATGCATAGTCGTTGGTGCCGTTTCAGTTGATGATCAACAAGCTTAATAAGACTAATGCCGATCAACTCCATCAGGTTTCGCGAGTGAACAACGACAGCCAAGACTCAATGGGGTTTGTCGTTACTACTATCGTCTCTACTATTGGTAACTATTATGGATAAGGCCAACGGAGAGCCAGTTTAACTACTTGCTGCTGTTCGACGGCTCCCCTCCGTATGCGGTATTTGTCGCGACGTTCCGAATAAAAAAGGAGAGCCCTAAATACCGGTGCTGTTGTGGTGGTGGATCCGGATTTCGGTGGCTCTTCTTCTCCCGTGCCGCCTGGGGGGCTTATCGAAACGCACATGATAATATCCACGGATGGCGAATGAAGAGTTTGGTCTCGTTATACCACTGTAGGGATTATCACGTTCAGCAACTCCTGAGGTACTCTGAGCATATGGAGTATTATGGGGCGCTCAGGGCCTGTGAAATGGTCTACACAGACCAACAGGTCATCTCCTATTCCAATGGGCTCTCCAACGGGGTATCCTTCCAATCAATAAGATAGTACGATGGGTGAATATAGCAGTAGCTATACTGGGTATGTATGAATATGAATATGTACAAAGAATATACCACAGGCGAAAACTGTGCGGGCTTACCAACTTCAGGAAGCAGGACTGGGCGGCAACTCGCCTGTGAACCAGTCGCTGGCAGCCCCTCCAAGTTCAAATTCTAGGGTTCCTCCCTGGGCAAATATGTCGTCCCACGTGAGCCAGTTCTTCTTCCAATCCTTTCCGTTCAACCGAAGCTTCTGCACATAAATTTGACTGTCGCCGTTCCCGTCGCCGCCGGTCGCATTGATGCTTAGTTTCTTCCCGTCCCCAAGCTCAATAGTCAAGGACTCGAACCACGGAGAATGAACCAAAAAGGTCGTTTGCCCCGTGATGGGATACAGGCCAATCATATTCCACAGAAGCCAGGTCTGCATGGCACCGGCGTCGCTGTTACCAGGGAGACCTTTAACTCCAGTATGGTAATAGGTCTTTGCGATGTTGCGCGATCGGTAAACCGATAGATCCTGTCGGTTGATATAATGGTACAGATACGGGATGTTGAACATCCTAATTGCACCATCAGCGATACTATTCACGCTAATATGGGGCTAACAGTAGAAGAACAAAAAGACTTACGGTTCGTTGGTGGGATCGAAGATAATACCACTAGAGCCGCTGGCCCCCTGGGTGAACATGGTGTCCAAGCGCTTCAGGACAGTCTGGGCCCCGCCCATCATCTCGATCATCTGCCCCATGTCGTGGACACTTGCCCAAGAATACGCCCAGGAGCTGGCCTCGTAGTACGGATCCCCCCAGTAGCCACTGTCCGTCAGTGGATCCGTTTCGATGAAGCCAGTGTTGTCACGTGGAACCACAAAGCCGGAAAATCCCAGCGAGGTCTGGTTGGAATTCCAATGATTCCTCCAATTCCGTGATCGGTTCAGATATTTGTCTGCGTCTTCATGCTTCCCAAGGCCCGTCGCTACCTGATAGAGACCAAAGTCGTTACAAGAGTACTCCACTGCCCGAGTGACGGCACGGCTGTATTTCGGTGTGATGAATCCGAGACTAAGCCAGTCCGGCAGTGCGCCTCGTCCCTCTTTGGTTGACGAGTCTGGTGCCATAGAGTCGACCGGATCATTTGGCGGAGCCACTTCGGCATCTTTTACCATTGCCCGGTATCCGTCTTCCCAGTCAACTGCTCCACGGACGCCTTTCACATAAGCATCGGCAAGAATATTGTCGGCATTGGAACCACCCTGTGTTCTTCCGTTGTAGTTCGACGAGCGAGCATCCGGGAGATAGCCTTCAAACCGCCAGATGTCGACTAAAGAGCGAATTTGTTCTTCATATGCTGCGGGCTGCAGGACTTGCATGAGAGCAGTAGAGCAACGGAAAAGATCCTGAAATTTTATCAGTTACGAGAGATCTAATGTGATTATGGGCGAGATCTCCGGAATTACACTTACCCAATAAGTGAAAATGTCCTGATAATATGGCTCAGAAGATGTCCAGCCAGGGTTCTCGCCGGTCTGGTTGGTTGGGATCAGATGCATGAAGTAGAGGGATGTGTACAGCAAGGTGAGGCTTGTTTCATTCGTGTTCGTTGTAGTCACCTTAGAGAAGACCTTGGAGTTCCATTCAGTCTGGGCGTCACGAACAACAGATGTGAATTCTGTACCCTCCGGGATTTCGTCATGGACATTTTTGCATGCTTTCTCCGTGGACAGCCACGAGATACCGACACGCGAGGTAACTACATTTTGTTGGAAGGTAAACAAGCCTCCGACACGGGTTGTACTCGAGGATGACGATGCAAGTCCGCTGATCTGCTCGACACTTCCTTCCGCATCACTTCCAGTGTATGTACGGTTACGAACTGGAGCAGCATCAAAATAACCACCTACCAAGAATGTCAGTCTTCGCTCACCATTAGGGGCTACATGTAAACGCTCACAGAAATAGATCGACCAATCTGGTGAACGATTCCAGCCGTTATCATACACACCCTGGCCCTCGTAATGCCCATCGGGAAAGATAGTGATGTTTCCACCTTTGTACCCTTGCCCAAGCCCTTGGCCTCGAAATGAGGGAAGGATGTGTGAAACATCAACCAGGACATTTCCCGTTGATCCTTTGGGGAATGTATACTGATACATTCCCGCATGAGCTGATGCGCTCAGCTCGACAATGGTTCCCTCGGACGTCTGCGCCTTGTAGTAGCCCACAGACGCCTCATCAGTACCTGCCCGGGCGACAGTCTTGTTCGATAGGGGATTACTGATGTTTCCGATCAAGGGCAGCTGGGAAACTGTTCCGTACTTGGGCGCGCCCCCGGTACCTTGTTCATGCATCATGCTGAAGCCGGAGAATTTACCATTGGGAAGGTAGCCTGAATAGGCATCTGTTCCTGAGATAAACAGGTCAGGGCCTAGCTTTACCATCCCAAACGGTCGCGCGGCACCAGGGAAGTTATTCCCCCCATTTTCTGTGCCCAAGCTTCATGAGATTAGAAGCCAGTTGGTTTAAAATCTCTCCGAGATTCGAGACTCGATACTTACAAGAGATTTACGTGTGATGTTAAACCAGCAGACAGGACCAGTGGCTGTAAGAGTGTCAACACCAGAAAGGTGCCCAACAACGCCATGATCAAGATCGTTCCTAGAAGGATGCCCGTTAGAGTCGCCAGTCTTTCTATCTTCGTTGATGGTATCTCGGGAGCTGTCCTACAAGGAGCGGAACACGATGAATCATACGCAACTTGAATCAAAAGCACCTCTAGCTGCAATCGAATCTAATTTATCTGATAAAAGCGAGCAGAAAAAAACCACGCCTCTGCGGGGTGTTACACAGTCATTTCCCAAGGTACGAGGAAGTGATGAGGGGAAGGTACGAGGCCACTGATTGCAAAGAACAGTCGCACATGCCATGATCACAGGCAGTCTCATGGGGCATTGTCCAATACATGGGCGTGAAAGCGCTGTGGGTTCGGGGAGAAGCAAGGATGGAAGTATATTGAAAGACGACGAAGCATGCCCGATCGTTTAGCGTCAAAAAAGGGGACGACTAAAATTTTAGATAGTAGGATATACATAGAAGCTATTGCCCCGCCAGTATCTATTGACAAAGAACGACAGTCTTGAGCCATAGGAACCCATGGATACAGAAGAGGCGCATTCTTTCCCCTGAACCAGCCCTACCGGAATGCCCCTTTTGCTTGTTGACAAACAAAGAAATAGAAATAGAAATAGAAACAAGAGCCACCGAAGCCAATAGTGAAAGCGTGGAACAATCGGGCAAACACAGACAATGTACTGTTTACGATGAAGCTATGAAGTACTCTGTACATGTGAATCAGTTCTCGTGAAAGGATCATTCTCCAGTCACAAGCCAAGATGGCGCACATGGCATTCGTTTTACCGACCACTTGTTGAATCTCACAAGTCTATTCCTCAGGAAGCTAAGACTCTACAGTATGTGTCATTGTCGATCACCTCACCTCCAGTATGATCCAGTATCAAGGATCATACCTTCTGGACCGGTGATCATGACCACCACCGCCAATGATCCGCCCACATGCTCGACTCAGGGGTCCGTCCCGGGAAAACATGATTGGACAGTTCCTGAGAGGTGGGTCAGGTGATTGGCATTTTGAATTACATAAGCATAGGTCACCGTCTAGTTAACTAGATATGGAGCCTTAGGAATTCTCCCTTGCTTAAGGCAAGGAAGGTCTGAAAAATCTAGATGCATTTCATACGATGTATTATCTTGAGGTTATAACTCTGGACCAACAGGAAACTTGCACCCCTGATATCATTCCTTGCTTAAGAACGAAGACGTTGCATGCACATACTATACACTAATCGAGACTTTCGACCGAATCACGCATAAGGTTTCAACTCATACTTCCGTCGGAATATATCATCGACGTGGACCAGATAGTATGTGCCAGGGGCGAGGCTGTCAACACTCCCCTTAGGGGTGTAGTCCTTCTGTTGGTAAGCCTTTTCGCGGAGTTGACACATCTAATATGATCAGACTAATGTCGGCTTAGGGAAATACATCTAGTGGATAACGTACCTGATCATAAAATCCAGGGGATACCGATGTGCGAGCATCCAAACGATCCTGCAACCGGATCTTTTGCGCCATTTCCGTAATGTCGCCTTTGATCTGCAAGCTGAACATGGTACTGGCAAGGCCGCCACCATAGCTGAACATACCGATACGCTTGTTCTGCAGTTTCTCACTCGGGACGTTACTCAATAGACTTACTAGCCCTGAATATATGCTAGCTGTATACATATTACCACAGTGGGCTGGGGCTGTAAGGGACGGTTGAACACGCTCTGAGAACTGATCCTTCGTTAGACCCATACAGAGCTTCTCAATGCTCTTATTTGTCAAAGATGCGGTATACTCGACATCCCGAATCTCGGACGGGACATGATCGAAACGATCTGGCTCTAGTCGGAAGTCGTTGAATAACAGGCGCCCATAGCCCTTGGCTACCAACTTGCAGTTGGGGGCATGGAGTACCATGTAGTCAAAGGTATCTAGAAAGCTACCCTTGCTGCTGGGTGTCACGCCGTTCAACTCGCCACTTGTTTTGGCCAGCTTCTTGCTGCGATAGCGTTGATAGCAATTATCCAGCGCCTGAAGATAACAGGTATTCGAGAAGTGCCCATCTACTAGAGGGTATTCGGATTTGAGATCGGCTTTATAAAAGTCGTATACATGTTTCATGTACGACGCGCGGAGCGGCTCCAGCACTAGGGGTGCGTTTGGGCCGATGAGCATGGCTACACAGCCGACGCCACCTGTCGGGCGCGCTGCCGGCGTATCGTACAAGGCAATATCGCCCGCAACGACAATGGCGTTACGCCCATCCCAGGCGGACGATTCCACCCAGTTCACGGAGTTGAACAGTGCGTTCGTTCCCCCATAGCAGGCATTGCATGTATCGACGCCTTCGATATCGGCGTTGTCACCAAACAGTTGCATGAGGACGGACTTGCAGGACTTGGACTTATCCAAGAGGGTTTCTGTTCCGACTTCGAGGCGACCGATCGTCTTCGGGTCAATTGAGTATTTTCGGAGCAGGGAGGAAACAGTAGTGAGGGCTAGGGAGTAGATGTCTGTTCATCATCGTCAGCCAACTATGCCGAAGGAGATTGGTGGCCCTGCTTTCAGTTTACCTTCCCGGTCATCACAGAAGCTCATCTTCTGCTGCCCGAGTCCGATGGTGAATTTGCCAGCACTGGCCCCTAGAAAGGTCTCGAGCTCTGATTGTGGCACATACTAGGTTGCGCTCTGGTTAATGTTTGCCTAGGTGATTCAAAAAGGCTCAGGACATACACGACTGGGAAAGTAGATCTCGATGGCCTTGATGCCAATGTTCTGGGGTGTCGATGGCATTTTGTCGAAGTGCAACTGTTAAGCAACCCGGCCTTCTCACGAGGTTAGTATCTGAAGATCGAAGAAAGGAAAGCAAACCGATGGAACATGAAGGGACAACATTAGACAATGTTTTGTCTCTAATATACTCCCTGCTGGTACCTTCCTTGTTGCCGGTGCGGTATGAGGTCTACTATGTAGATCCGGTACTATGTCACCTAAACATGGGCTAATGCCATGGCGAATCCACCACGGGCTGTCTGGGATAGACGCTACAGTGTATATTCGAGCACCTCGGTTCTAGCTTCCCTCATTGGACCGATAGGTGCTGGAATTGTTTCATTTCTAGAGAACCCTGTAGACTTTACTTGATTGAGATATACTGTTGCCTACTACATGAGGTCCGCATGTATATCTGCGGTGGCTCAGACGATCGCTAGGCCATCTATTGGCTTATTGATCTGACGTGGGAGAAGAAGGTTGCAATTGAGGTTTAAGCTAACAGGCCTTGTTTTGTTCGAGAATCTGTAAATATAACAACAGCAATCCATCGGACCAACGGAACCGACTCCATCGTAGCAATAACAGCACTCCACTTAATCTGTCTTCTGTTTATGCTTAGCTATCTGTCTCATTGCAGTTGATGAATGACCAGCGCAACTATCAATGCCACAGATACTAGCTGCAGTATATCTTGCACGTGTATATAATGGTCATGCTTCTATGCTCTGCTTTATGCATGGCATAATTTATAAGCAATTTTCTTACACAAAACCAAAATGCACGATTATCGACAATTAGCTATAATCTATTGATAGGCAACACCGGAGAACTAGAAAGCATTCTCACCCCAATTAAGACGCAACTTGTCTTCAGATGTCGCTAATTCTAATCTCCTAGGCCAATTAGGACAGGGAAAGATAATAGCTAGTAATATACCTAGTGCTATCGTGCTTGCTTTCTTGTTATTCGGGAATTTTACGTCACAGCCCGCGAGAAATACAAGTGTTTTTATTCTGTTTTGTCTTTTTCTTCATTCTTTTGAACGATAGAACAATTGGGATATCGGATACTAGGTAACGATTTTGTGATCAAGATAGTAGATATATTCTTGTCTTTCGTAAACGGTTATTGCGACCCCTTTTGGGTGCCTCTTCAGGTAGGCCATGGGCGTGCTGCTCATATAATCTAGGCAATTGTTGGCAAAACTGGATAATATCTGTTCCGGATCAGGTACGTACGCAGGTCTTTTGGGCAAGGCATTGTGCTAATGAGGTCGATTTATGTGGAAGATAGTAAGAATGATCATATGTCCTCATACGTCCTACGACCGAAGTTGCTAGGCAATGGTGCTTACTGATAAGAAAGGCTTAGGGTAGTATACTTCTCCCAGTCATATATTAAAGGAAGAGGACTAAAATCTCAACCTTGGTAGTCGGTGAAAGGTGTATGCGTCTAAGTGGGTTCAACCTTCGGCCGAACTGGCCGTGGCTTCACCGGTGAGGATGACGACTATGTTAGAGCATTGGAGAGAATTTATCCATATATAATGGATTGATATGCCGGCTGGGGCTTTCTAGAAGCCATCATCATTGGTTGTCCAGTGGTTTCTTAAGGCTACTAATGCAAAGATGGAGTGTAGTTAGGTCATGCCATACTAACGGTGTTTGGAGAAGATCTTCTTGCCAGATGGATCAGCAACGCCTTACCTGCCGGGCCTGAGACTAAATGGCATCATAGACGAACGACCGACAATGATTTGTCTGCCATTCGCAGTGATATCTGGTGGGTTGAATGGAGTCTAGTGTCATCTTGGCGACCGCATTCAGTGGACGGAAAAATGACACCCCGCGAAAAGGGCAGAATTTCTCCGTCCGTATCCACATCGCGGAGTCGAAAGAAGCATTGCCGAGTCACGTTCAATTCCCCAGAGATGCTTGCCTTGGGGCACCGTGCGCGGGGAAAAAAAAAGAAGGGGTTGCCACTGGGGTGTTGCGGGCAGCGCCGCCAACGCCTATTATGGTGCTTAACACCCTCGGTAACAGCCTATCACAGTCCAGATATGTCTTCCTGGATGGAGTACATCTATGGAGCCCTTAGTCGACCCATTGATGGGGACGAGCTGGGGGCCAGCTGGGGAATATAATGGGGATTTCCCCAGAGTTCTCCCTGCTTTCTTCTTTTCTTGAGACGGCCCTCCTTGGTTGAATTGTTTGTCACCCATCGGTCCTGATCAATTTCGCCAAAATGGGTATCTTCAAGAATTACCGTGTTTACATCCTCACGGCAGTGGCCTACTCCGGGTCCCTGCTTTTCGGTATGTCTTCTTGTTGATCCAGGTTGACTTGTCGTACATGTACTAACGATGTTTTGTAGGATTCGACACCGGAGTGATGGGTAGTGTTCTTGCCCTGGATAGCTTTAAGAATGATTTCGGTCTGGCGGGATCCGATGGATTTGCAGACGCGCAAAATGCCCAAGTCTCTTCCAATGTGGTGTCTCTGCTCACAGCTGGCTGTTTCTTCGGTGCCATCGGTGCCTCCTTCCTCAATGACTTTCTCGGACGTCGCTACTCTCTCATGATCCTTACTGTCGTGTTCCTGATTGGAGCTGCTATTCAAGTTGGCGCAAGCCATGAAATTGGTATGATCTACGGTGGCCGAGTCGTGGCCGGACTGGGTATCGGTGGCATGTCTAGTATCACACCGGTGTTTGTGGGTGAGAGCGCCCCCCCGGAGATCAGAGGTCGTATTGCGGGAATGTTCCAGGAGTTTCTGGTCATCGGAAGCACCTTTGCCTACTGGTTGGACTATGGTGTGGCCCTGCACATTGCACCCAGCACTAAGCAATGGCGGACTCCGGTTGCGGTTCAGCTCATCCCGGGCGGGCTCATGCTGATCGGACTCTTTTTCCTCAAAGAGTCCCCTCGCTGGCTGACCAGCAAAGGCCGCCATGAAGAGGCCCTGCAGTCTCTGGCTTATATTAGAAACGAGCCTGCCAGTAGCGAGGTGGTGCAGACCGAGATCGCCGAGATCCGTGCCTCCATTGAGGAGGAGCAGGCGGCGACCGAGGGATTGACTTACAAAGAGTTCCTTCACAAGAGCAACCGAAACCGCTTCGTGTTTGCTGCCGTACTCATGCTCTGCCAGCAATTTTCGGGCACCAACTCCATTGGATACTATGCACCCCAGATCTTCCAAACCGTCGGTCTTAGCGCGACCAACTCGTCTCTTTTCGCCACGGGTGTTTACGGAACCGTCAAGGTCGTCGCGACGGCGATATTCTTGTTCGTTGGTATTGATCGCTGGGGACGGAAGAAGAGTCTGATTGGAGGCTCAATCTGGATGGCTTCCATGATGTTCATCATTGGTGCCGTCTTGGCCACTCATCCCCCTGACACATCTGCGTCAGGGGTTTCCCAGGCTTCCATTGCCATGGTTGTCATGATCTATCTTTATGTCATTGGGTACAGCGCCTCATGGGGCCCAACTCCATGGGTCTATTTGAGTGAGGTAAGACTGGTCCATTTATACGAGAAACTCACATAATATCCGAGACATTCTCTGACTGACTCCTGTTCTAGATTTTCCCAACACGCCTGCGTGCATATGGTGTTGGCCTTGGAGCAAGCAGCCAATGGCTGTTCAGCTTCGTTGTTACCGAATTCACTCCCCACGCGGTGAACAAACTGGGCTGGCGGACATTCCTCATGTTCGGAATCTTCTGCGTGGCCATGGGTGTTTTCATCGTCTTCTTCGCCAAGGAAACCAAGGGTCGCTCTCTAGAAGAGATGGACGTTCTGTTTGGGGCTGTCGATGAAAATGAGCGCCGTGCTGCCGTGGAACATACCCTGAACAAGGGTGTGGTCTCTCACATCGAGCGGACTGAGGAGGACAAAGTCTAGACGACTTAGACTATGACGCGACGATCGAATTGGTATACATAACGGGAGAAATCGGTTATAGAGCTTGTTCAGGAAAATAGAACCATCCCAATATATTCTTTTAATTCCATTGCTGCTATTCGTGCGACGATCAGACGGTGTTATTAAATTAGGGTTGCACCAGGATGATAGAGACAAAGAAGGCCATCCGTTATTCCAACAGCCGCTAACTAATTCATCTCATCCATTATGATCTCCTCGAGCCGAAGCCAACTCAAGTAAGTTTGAGCAGACCCACGAGCCTCCATGATTCACCACCGGAAGAGTTTGATACGAGCCAATTGAGATAATTTCTTTTTATATAGAATTGCGGCTCTTGGCACTGATGTAATCCAAAACATCGCAATCTTCCTTGTGCAACTTTAACAACTGAAAAGCAAACCTTTGCTGACAGAATTGTTCCAGAAAAGGGGGCACGATGTATCGCCCAAACATAGTATAAACAAGGGGGACGAGTTGGAATTCCTCCAATGTGAAAGCCCTCCCAACGTAACCCGATTAATTCCACAGGAACGAGAGCAGGTGACACGACTGCAGCCTCCTATTGTTCGCTGCATCCGCGAAGGGAGATGAATAACCTCGAATGTGTCACTTCAGTGAAAACAAGGTTCCCCGTTTATCTTCTAGGCACCGTGAATGCCCACTTTCCAATTCCTACATAAGGCGAGAAAGGAATTCGGTCAAGTGTTCCAACTTCGCATTTCTCGTCAGCTTAGAAACCTTTCTCGGAGAGGATTACGTGCTACCATGCTGTTTTATAGGGCTTATGGCCGGCTTCTGTGTCTCCTGTATGCCTGTGTGACGGTGTCCGCGTTCACGTGTGCGTATCCGCGGCTCATCGACGCGACGAGGGACGACCTTGTTAGTGATCTTATGGCTAATTGCTATTCTAGCGTGGACTTGGTTAAGGTTTGTTCTTGGGCCGTGGTAGCGGTGGTTGGGTTGATGGCTGATTGGGTATAGACATATGTTGCGCGGATCAATGAGGTCAATTCTACTCTTCGTCCGATACTGGAGCTTAACCCGGATACGTTGCACGAGGCAGAGGTGTTGGATGGGGAGAGACAAGATGGTCTTAGTCGGGGGTAAGTGTAAAACTCATCTGATTTAGATTCATTTGACTATCATGTGCTCATGATTGTTTTAGAGAGTTGCATGGTATGCCGATATTGGTCAAAGATAATATTGGAACGGCGGATAAGATGCGGACCACAGGTACTTCTTTTCTCTGTTTCATACTGTAAGTCCCCATTACCGTTGAGTACGCTCGGCTGATGGTATGTTTGTATGTAAGCCGGCTCTTATTCGCTCTATGACTCCCGAGTGCATGGGGATGCAACTGTTGTGAGGAGACTTAGGGATCATGGGGCCATTATCTTCGGAAAGACGAGTATGTCGGAGTGGATGAATTTCCGTTCGTCGAATACTTCCAGTGGCTGGAGTCCTAGAGGCGGACAAACTCTAGGTGCTTATCATCCAATGCAGGACCCCGAAGGAAGTTCAAGTGGGAGCGCTGTGGCCGTTGACCTCGGAC